ATAAAATAAATAAAATTTTACCAGAGAATTCCAAAAAATCGATGTGTTCAAAATGGCTGACGGTAACGAATATTTCCAAGGATTCTCAAACAATTCCTATTTTTCTTATTTTTGATGTTTCCTTTATTTATTTCCTTTATCTTTTTTTTTACTTAAATTATTTGTATATATATTTTTAATCGAGATCCCAAAATTATCAAAAATAACGAAATAATATAATAGAAGCGTCTAGCTTACACGAAATCACATTAAAGAATGAATAAAAAAAGACGTTGTTTGTTTTCTCCTAGGAGATTTTCGTTACCAACCAAAAAAAATGAATATCTAAAAAAAATAAAAAGATCGGGACAAAAAAGAAATTCCGACGGTCGGTAAAAAGGTCTTCATCTATATCTTAACGCTGATTGGTCCAAACTGATTGAGTGCGAAATTCAAATTAACTATAATAATCTTGGTATTCATTCATTCATTCCGTCCGGACCCCTGCTGGGTTTTCGGTGACAGAGAAAAGAACAATTTATGGAGAGAGAAAGATATATCTTTATTTTGCAAATGAGGGTTCGCTTGACCTGCAATCTGTTAAGAAGGATTAATTAATAACTCTGAGGACCCAGGTAATTATTTCTTTCTCCCTTTATCACGTGAAAAAGCTATAAAGAAAGTGTAAAACTGAATAGGTAACTTTCTTTCTTACACCAAGAAATATAACATAAGTACTTCTTTGTTTAACATTGCGTTTCTCTATCTAGACGATTGAAAATGTCATAAGAACATCATCGTCTAAAATCTTAATCTTCTTCCATTTTTGTTTTAAAAATAAAAAAAATATTCATTTATATGTATATGGGAAAATCTCTGGAACTTTTAACTATTATGTCCCTCGCGTATATTTTGTTAATTCCAATGAAATTTTACCTGGTTTTTGTTGGAAAAATCAATACTTGATACGAGCAATAATTTCCAACAGGTTTCACATTAATTTATTAAATAAATAAATAATTATTTAATTTTCAATGCACGATTTTCAACAATTTCTACTTGTCCCTAACCATACTTTGTGGTGCTTTAAACGATAAAACTTTATTATTAAAAAAAATTACCAGTTCTAAGATACGTCATTTTAAAGTTAATTAAACGATGAACACATTTTCGCAAGAAAATTAACATTTTGTAAATTGTAAAAAAAGTTATAAGCTTTTAAAAGTTGTCCCTCACTTTTAACCTTTTTGACTGCAATCCTCTTATTTAGCATTTTTCTTTGATAAGACAATTGGCACACCAAAATAACTTATGAGAAATTAAAGTTCAAGTCATTAGAATTATTTTGAGACATATTAAATTGATGTGCCTCGTGTCTTAAAAAAATTATTGTAATTTTAATAACAGAAAACACGTGTGTACAAAATGAGAATTTTATTTTAAATAAATGTTGAAATTATTAACCAAATTTTATCATTTTTAAAAAATTGTAACTTCACAGTAATTTCCTTTCCATTGTTTTTCATTCCAAAATCAACCACCTGTTGAATACTTTTCTGTTTTAGGTTAACAATAATTTGCAATTTTAAATAATTAATAACTTTTTTAAGACAAAAAATTTTATCTGTCCACTTATATAATTTGAAATCTTCGTACTTGAAGTTTATGTTGACAGAGTTTCAATACTGTGCTCGAAAAAAAGAATTTTTTTTTTCCTTTATTGAAAAGTTAAAAGTTCCAGAGATATGCCCATATATGTATGTAGGGGACATAAAATTTCAAGTTTTTGGAACTTGATACATTTTTCTTGTTTTTAAGGTTTGTGTTAAACAGTGGGACACCTATTATTAATTATTAAATAATGAATAATTGTTTCATTAATAATATTCTGCTTCATACTTTGTAAATATATATGTTTTGCATTAAATAACGTTAACAAATGTTTCAAAACACTCATAATTTAATAATATTTTAAATTTTTATAATTTTTTATTACATTTCATTATGTACTCCGAGTTAATCTTCATTAACAAAGGTTCTATTGGCCAAGGGTTGGTACATCTTTATTTTTCTATATAATAAATGTGAAAAAAGAAATTATTACCTGGGTCCTCAGAGTTAATCCTCATTAACAAAGGTTCTATTGTCCAATGGTTGGTTCTTTTGTGGTATTTGTTCCGGGGTTTTAATACAGGTATAAATACGTATATATGTTATTTATAATGAACTACTGATTACTCATATAAGAGTGTCCTTTTTGCACTTATTGGCTGATCAGTAGTTACTGATTCATAGTTTCTCATAGTTCTCTCATTCTTTTGGATATTTGGTAGTTTTATTGGATAAAAGGCAAAATTAATTATATTGGATTAAAGTAAAAATTGGTTATATTGAATTAAAGGAAAAATTAGTTATATTTAGTAAAAGGTAAAATTAGTTGTATTGAATTAAAGAAAAAATTGGTTATATTGAATAAAAGGCAAAATTGGTTATATTAGAGAAAGTGAGCAAAACGGTTAAAGATATTTAGATTTTCATGAATCAAAAATAAAATTAAACGAAGTATAATATGGCCAACATGAAAGAGTATATTATTTTAAGTGATAAAGATTTAAAAATTATTGAAAATAGAAATAAATTGTTAAATTACATCCATATGTACAAATTTGAAGATTTATTAAGAAAAGATTCCAATTCTTTTTTTAATATGCAAAGTGCTTTGTATGTACAAATGCTTGATTTTATTGTCCCAATTAGAGACGGTGATAAACATATTTAAATACTTTTTAGCCGTAATAACAATTATGGTCACTGAATTTATGTCTATTACTATAGAGTAAGGCTTTATATTTTTGATAGCCTTAATAAGGGGTGTTTAAATGTGCAGCAAATAAAATATTTAATTAGATTGTTACCTTTTAAACCAACAGTAGTTTTTGAAGCTGTTGATCAACAACCTTTTGGTAGTGTTGAGTGTGGAGTACATGCAATAGCATTTGCAACATCTATATTATTTAACGTAATGCCAAACCGTGTAAATTATGAAACTGATAATAACAAAATGAGAAACCATTTTAAGTCAATGTTTGAAAATAATTGCTTAAATAATTTTCCGACAGTAAGAACGTCTCACAATAGGAATTCGATAATAGAGAATGATTAGAACCGTCTTTTCATAAATTGAACTCAGGAACATAAAAATTATATTTTAAACTATTGTTCTGTTTTTAATACTTTTCCCAGTAATAATATTAACAGAGTTCTATTAACACAAGAGTTAAAAATTAAACATTCTCTAAATGACACTAGTGAAAAGAAAATAATTCGTACAACTTATAATACTGTGAACAAAATTTCACCACATGAATATTTAACAATGAAAAATTTTCTGAGTAAAGAAAATGATAAAAAGATAAATCGAGCAATTAAAGAGAAGGGAAGAAAAAGGAAGGCAAGGCGCGAAGTTACATATGAGCAGTAAATAATAAGACAGGAGAATGAGAGATTGAGAAAACGTAATCGTAATAAAACAGAAATAAAAAAGAAAGAGCGCAAAAAAAATTTGACATGCAAAAAAAAGAAATTATCTATAAAAACTGAAGATGGAAAGAAAATACGCAAGGATAAAAATTTGGCATGTAGGAAAAGAAAAATATCAATGGAGACTCAAGATGAAAAGAAAGTGCGTCAAGAAAATAATTTGTCATGTAAGAAGAAAAAATTTTCTACGGCAACGGAAGATGAAAAGAATGTGTGAAGAAAAGAATTTGACATGTAAAAACGATAATCGGAATAAAAAAAGTGCAGGAGTTGCAATAATGTCTTTTGAAGATTTAGATGAAAGTAAAGTACCACAGAATTATTTAGGTTTAATAAATTTAGAATGTAAGTTTTGTAACGCGTTACATTTTTTGTGTGAAAGACCGTAACATAGATACATCACGGAGGAATGTCCCCGTGAAAAGGACATTATGATATCGCCTGAATGTCACAAAAATATTCCCTGTTGATATCAGCCTGACATTCAAGCAATATTCCGTGCTACTTGGGTGGTAGATCCAATATAAAGAAATTTTTTTTTACATTTCTAATATTAAATTTTTTTGATAAAAAATGAATAAAAAATATGGTTAATGCACACTAGCAACGTAGTCGGCCGCTTGCGGACGACAAAGTTGCTAGTTTGATAATAATGTTGTTGACAAAAATTGTTTTCTTGAATAATAATACTTCTTCTTGATTAACGATTTTAATACGTTAATCCGACGCAAGATGGTAAATCCTTAATTCTTCTCCAATATAAATATTAATGAATTCGGAATTAATATTGAAATTTACAAAGATAATGCCACAATCAAATAAAAATCTTCAAACTTCAAATTGACATAAATCCAAAACATCAAACATTTTATATGGGCTTTGGCTAACCGCAGCAATAGAAATTTTAAATAGTAATTTAAAAATATAAGGAAGCCTTCCAAAAATCATAATAATTTTTGAGTGTTTCGCCAGGAAACGAAGTCAATTGATATTCTCAGGGTGATATTTGCAAAAAAACGTGAAAATACTTGGCATCTCTCAATTATCCAATTAATGGGTACATCGGAAGTGAATATTCAAGAATCCAAATTTTTAATAATAAAAATATATCCAAATAATCGATAATAAACTTCAAAATATCCAATTATTGACGACATCAAAATTGAGGTTAGGTTGACCAATACAAAATATTCAATATAATCAATTTTTCTCAAAGTTTTCCTAAATCTTGATATTTTTCTTCATTTCTTGTTTCAGTTGAATGATGGCTCGAAAATATATAAATAAAAAGGGATTACAGACATTAATTCTTAATATTAAATTATTATTAAATAAGATTTTTCCATTTCTCGAATCTATAATGTGATTTCGTCTAGTAAATTTATGATATTGAAATATCTCTTTCGGGAATAATAAACAAAGTTATTTAATATTTTGAAAAATAAATAAACTTTTGTGATTTGTAAAATTGTAAATTTTACAACGTCACAGTCTTGCGCCCACGATCTGCTTGTGTCTGATGTTCGAATTCAATTCCCTCCAAAGTTTCCTCAGTACGTTGCAATACGTTGTTCCTGTTGCGACTCTGATCTCCATTGTAGATCCACTCGTCGCTTTCTTCTTACTGGTTTGCTTAGAATTCGGTGCTACTGTCACCTACGTAATCTTTTTGACAAGAAGAACCTTCTCTTGCTTCTTATTCGCCGAAACTTCTCCATGATAGTGATTCGTCTATCGGAGTAGAGTAACTGTGAATATCACACAAAATTTGTCTGCCTAATTATTTCAATAATTTTTTCATTAATAATTTAATTTATCGTTGCATTTAAATTATTTTCGTTTACTTTATATATAGTAATCTATAATTGTTCACAGTAGTAAACAAATAAATACTCATATATCTAAAGAACTAACAATTAATTTTATAACATAACGTCCGGTCCTATCAATATTTACAAGGATAAATATATTGTAAGCGTAGTAGATAATATTTCAGTAGTCAGAGAACATTCCAAGTCTAAGTGACACATTTAAAATTAAAATGTCGAATCCTCTTGTAAAAATTGAACAAGGTTCTTTAAATGGTGCATTTGTTGATGGTGAACTTGGACAATTTATGACATTTCGTGGAATTCCTTATGCTGAACCACCAGTTGGAAAATTAAGATTCAGAGTAATGAAAATATTCTATATTTTTGTTACAAATTCAAGAATTTATAAAATCTATTACTGAAAATATTAAGGAAGAATATTAATTAATTTCTAAAAAAAAAAAACCTTTCCTGTTTAAAAATTTTTTTTCATCCATTTTTTTTTACATCTTACAATATTAAACAAGTTTTTTTCTAACCTCAAACCAGATTTGGATCTTTTTAATTCATCAAAGTTCAAAATGGCAGTTCCAACATGATGAACAGTAAAATTAAAATTTAACAATTATACTATTTAGAATTTATATTTGTAATTATAATTACTTTTGTCAATCTGTTTCTATAATATTCTTTTCTATACATAACTTTTTTATTTTTAATTCTATATTTTTAATAAATGTCTAGGTTATATTTTTTTGCTGACGATAATGTTATATAAAGCAATAAGGTATTAAAAATAATTTATCTACTTGAGATAACGCAACACAGACATGATAAAAAGTATAAATATAAAACAAATTTTCAGAGTTTAATTTTTACGCTAATTTGAATTTCTTTTTCATGTTATATTTTAACTCAAAAACAGTTTTGAATTCTGTAAACTGATGTCAGATTTTGAATCAGAGATTTAAAAGAAAACCCCTAAGTATCACGTTTCAAGCGAACTTGACCGATTTTGTTAAAAACTCGTACGTATAAAAATCCTACAAGTGTTCAACACCACTTAAGGTTTTACATTTCATTATCGTTTTTAAAAGGAAAAAATAAATAATTTACAGCTGAAGAAAAGGAAACATAGCCAGGCAAATTCTTTTCTGACAAAAAAATTTTGTTTTTATTTAAATATACAATGATTCAAAATATTAAAACTAAAATTCATTACATTTATAATAAACAATTTAGGATCCTAAACCTCCTCAACCTTGGAAAGGAATTCGAGATGCAACGAAAGAAGGAAGTGTTCCATCACAATTTGAATATCAAATTAATCAATTTATAGGAGAAGATGATTGTCTTTTTATTAATGTATCGACGAATAATTTAACAGAACTGAAACCTGTTATGGTTTGGATATATGGCGGTGGTTTTATAAATGGTTCAGGAAATGTGGACTTTTATAGACCAGATTATTTTATGCAACACGATGTTGTTTTTGTCTCTTTTAACTATAGGCTAGGAATGTTAGGTAAATTATTTCCATTTCCAAAAAGTAACAGAAAATTACAAATGTTATTGAAAATTAAATTTAAAACCTTTTTTTCATTAGGATTTTTAAATATGGATATGGAAGATTGTTCAGGGAATCAGGGACTAAAGGATCAAGTACTCGCTTTGAAATGGGTTCAAAAAAATATCGGTGCTTTCGGTGGTGATAAAAATAATGTGACAATTTTTGGAGAAAGTGCTGGATCTGCTTCTGTTCACTATCTTTGCATTTCTCCTTTGTCCAAAGGTGATTTCTATCTATAAATTGTTTTATTGAAAATAAACTAAAATACCTTTAGTGCAGCAAAAGTGTCGTACTATGAAATTCAGTACTTTTAATAACAACGGATTTTCAATTTATTAAAAATAATTTTCAGGACTATTTCACAAAGCAATCGCTCAAAGTGGAGTTGTTATTAATCCCTTTGGACAGCAGACTTCTAATAAAGAATATGCAATAAAAGTTGCCGCTAAATTAGGTTGCTCTTCATCAAATAACGAAGAAATAGTACAATTTCTTCGTACCATACCTGTTGAGAAGATTCTTGAGACACAATATGAAATTTTTGACATAGTAAGTGAGAAGGAAAGAAAGATTTGAAATGGAACAATTTAATGAATCTGGCTGTTCCATAAAGCAGTCTTAATGAAATTTTTCTCCCTCTTCTTAACTAAAGATTTCTAAATTCTTAGGAAAGTTATTATGTTCAAATGATAATTAATTTTTTTTATATTTCTAATTCATCTTTTTTAGCATCCATTGAAATTGGAATTTTATTTCATCCCTACAGTGGACAAGAAATGCCCTAATCCATTTCTACCTAAATCTTTGACGGAAATGATTGAAAATGGAATTGACGTTCCTTTAATCATAGGTTACACCTCAGATGAAGGAATGCTTTCCCTAGGTAAAATTTATTAGGAATTAATATTGAGTTGAAATTTATTTAAATTAATTTGAATTAAATAATACAGATAGTCCAGAATTTAATAGTGAAGAAAAAATGAGTAAATTGAAATACAATTTTGAGGCACATCTTTGCAAAGATTTAAAAATTAATTCTACTGTTGCTTCCAATTTTTCTAATGATGTAAAACAATTTTATTTTGGAGATGATACAATTTATAAATCAGAACAGGATAAATTCATTCAATATAAAGGAGACGCAATAATTGTTGCCGGAATTTGGCATATATTGGAAAAACAATTGCAGAAAAAAACTCCGACATATTTATATAAATTTTCACATTCTCCAGAAGTTTCTCTTGTGAAGATGTTTTATAAAATTGACGCAAATGGTATTTTTTTGCAAAAAGTGTTTAAAAGTATTTGATTATTATTATTCTAATTAATTAATTTAATATTTTTTCAGGTGCATGTCATGCTGATGATTTAAATTATTTGTTTTACAAAGAAAGTCTCCCTTCAAATGAGCAACTTCAAAGAGGGACAAAAAATTATTTAATAATGGAACGAATGACGAGAATGTGGACTGATTTTGCAAAAACAGGGTAAGAAAATAAAATGTCCTAAGATTTATTTTATAACATATATTTTTTATAAAAATTTCAATAATAATTTTCTTTTAAAACAGAAATCCAACACCTAAAATAGATGATCTTATAAAATCAAAATGGTCTCCGTACAATTCTGATAAAAAATGTTGTCAGCACATTGTTGATAATTTCAATACAGAAGATAATTTCATTGAAAATTCGTGGAAATTATGGAAATCAATATACCAAAAATATAAGTTATTTTAATTTACAAATTATGTCTATCCAAATAATTTCATTAACTTAATTATAAATACTAAATTATTATTTTTGTTTGTCAAAAATAAATGTAAATCATTTTATATTTTAAAACATTATTATTATTTTCAATAAAACGCTAAATTTAAATAACAAATAAATAAAATACATTTTTTAACCAAACGAACACAAAATCCCCTTAAGTGTTAAAATGTTTCTGTATTTGTGAGATCAAAAAAACTATAAAAGTATAAAAAACTGAAATACGTGGAACACAATATCGAAAAAATATTCTTTTAACTATTAAACTCCTGTAAAAAATAATTGGCAGTATAAAATAAAGAATTTTAATAGAAAAATTATGGTTAATGGTAAAATTTTAATGAAAAAGAAATTAGTCATTAAACACTAGTTTGTTAATTTTACCATCAATTTTTGATAATCTTCTTTGAATTGATTCATAAGATTTAAATTTCGTTTTTTTCGAACCTTTCTAAAATTTTCAAGTCTTATTTGCTTATAGATTTGTAATAATAATTTTTCGAGATTATTTTCTTCTTTTAAACACTTTCTTCGCAAACTGTATTTGATGTAGCAATCGATATGCAATCAGTTGTACTTATTCCACTTTTTCTTGATGATGCAATTTTTCTTCTTACTGGCTTTGTGGTACTATTAAACTTGAACACATATTTAAGTTCCTCCATTAATTGCTCTTTAAAGGGAACCTAAAAAAAAATTAAAAGAAATTTTTTTTAAAGCGCAATTATTTTTTACCACTTGCAAAATTATCATGTAAATTTTTAATTAGTTTCTATTATTATTCTCACTAACATTATATTCATGTGATGTGACTCGTATGCGTAGAAGCATTTCTGTTAAAGTCCACAAAAAGGAAATAATAACGCCAATACAAAGAACAAGATAAACGCCGCCGACATTTTTTAAATTTAATTCTTCTGGCTGACCACTTTCCACTTGCTGTAAGAATAAAAAACCATTTGTTGATTCAATTTTCAAGAACTAATTTTGAGTCGTACGAAAAAAAAAATTATTTTATTTCAATTACCTCGCAACTACCACCACCATTTCTTTGTCTCCACCAATGTTGTTTCATTTGTGCCAATATTCCCGTTTCTTGAAGCTCCAAAATAGCGGAACTTAAATCATGACGATAAGGTGCATCTATAATTTATTAAAATTTATCAAATTTTATCTTCCAGTAATAACGATGACTAATGTAAATAATAAAAAAAAACTGATAGAATAAAATTTTTCCCATTACTTTTTCTCATGGCAATTCCATAACCTTTTTCAGTAAAAGGTCTATCGATAACAGTGAGATTACAATTTCGTTCTATTTCATATTCCACTGTGGATGATTCCATAAAAAATGCAAAATCTTCACGCAATACTTTTTCTTTTCCTGCTTCATTTGATGGCAATAGACAATTAATTGCATCATTTTTCATTGTTTCGTAAATTTGTCTATACGTACTATCGTTTGATCCCTAGTAAACACAATAATTAATATAGTTTATAAAAAAATTATAACTAAACTATTACTTTTACAATAGTATACCTGAAAGAAAGCAAGAGTAGATCCAGCTTTCTTAGCGCCGTATTTTATTTTATTCTGATTTGCCAATTCAACTAAATTATGAAATGGTAATACGGGAACTTCAAATGTTAAACTTGATGCTAAATTAGCAGTATATGTTGACACCATAATAAGACAAAAAAAGAACCAACAACCAGATAGTAATCTTGTTGAAATCCCTCTAAAGAAAGAATATTTTTTTAATGAAATGTAATTATAATTAGAACGATTTTTTCTTTATATAAAAATAATTTTACTTACGCTGGAGCAATTTCAGAACCCTGTTGCATCAATGCGCCAAGAGTAAACCATAGACAATTTTTGAATTGTAATTGATTTTTTAATTCCGTTGGTTCATCAATGCAAGGATATGGATTTACCCATTCACCAGGACATATTCGTCCAATTATAAAAAGTTCCAGGGAGACAAATATATAGGCAGCAATCAAGCACAACCAAACCTGATTGTCAAGTGGTGATAAAAATGACATCAAACTCCCTTCAGCTTTTGATGCTTTTCTAAATAGAATACTAATGCCTAAAAAAAAGGCAAATTACATATTTACTTTATAACGTAAAGTTTGTTTGATTATTACTTAATGTAAAAATAATCGTTATTAGAATTAATTAGTTTTCGTTCATCCTTACTACGGAGACCAAAGGGAAATTCTTAATTTAGATTGCTAGTGCAAAAGCGATTGAATCATGATTAGAATTAAGACGAAACTCACTAACGCTGACTGAAACCAATGACGATGTTCACTTGATGGAATAATCTCCAACTAGAAACACTCTCTTGATGAATTTGGCGATTCATTCAGTCTGACCTAAACAACGAGACAATTGAAGGAGAACGCGAGAAGTGTTGAAAGCTTAGGCATCAGGAGAAAGCTGAGTGTCTTCAGAGGATAAAAGAGGAGAACGCCAAGATGGTAAAGTTTTGCGAAGTGCAAAAGAATGTCAAGATGATTATTAAGGACGGACTTAAGACTCTTCAGGATCTTGTCAGTGAGGGGAAGACAAAGTACGCTCTAGCTGATAATGGAGATAGCAATATTGGTGAAGGTGACGGTAGCACCGAATCCTAAGCAAACCGGTAAGAAGAAAGCGACGAGTGGATCTACAATCGCGTGATCCGAATCGCAAGAGGAAAAACGTATGCCGACGAACTGAGGAAACATTGAAAGGAAGTGAATGTAGACATCAGCAAGTTGTGGGTGAAACCTCAACAAGAAAGGGAAATCTCCTGGTCAAAATCGAAGAAGACTCCAATAAGGAGGCATTCACTGCTGAAGTCATCAAAGTAGTTGGAAGCATGGGGAAGGTGCAGACGGTGGATCGACAGGTGACACTGGAGGTTAGCGTCCTGGATTGCCTTACCCAGGAAGAAGAGGTTCAACAGGCGTTGGAGGGAATTCTCCAGAAGCCAGGAAGCAGGAAAGTGACGGTCTTAGGATCCAACAGACGAGAAATGAAGCTCGCGGTTGTAGTCACCGAACCAGAGGAGGTGGACAGGCTAGAGAAATTAGGACGCATAAGGATTGACATTAAGTATTGCCCAATGAAAAGAAGGGTGATGGTCGTTCTGTGCCAACGATATAGCCACACAGATTTGCAAGGCAGCGGACAGATCGACTTCATGCTTCAAGTTATCATAAGTTTGCGATCAATAAAGCGAACATAAACATTATTATTATTAGACCTTAACCTACGAAGTTTAGAGCTTGATGGCAATTTCCGCTTCCCTTGTAAAATATCATTAGGCTGAGCGAATTATTTATTTATTATATGATCTTAAATTAATTTGAGCTCAATTTTATTTTCATTATAAGAAATATAAGGCGCCGAATTAAATATGAATACCCGGATCAAATAACTCGACCGACGCTCGGACGCACGCTCTAATGGTAGTCGGGTAGCAGTGAGCCGCCCACAGGCTGTCACTGCTACTTGACTGGTAATAGAGCGTTCGTCCGAGCGTCGATCGAGTTATTTGATCCGGGTATTCATATATAATTATCTTTTATTAGTAATCTTTAAATTCCATAAATGATAAATTCGGAATACACTTACCAAAACTCATGAACGGTAAAGTAAAATCAACATCTTTTTCACGCTGTTCTGTGATTGTTAAATCAGTAATTGCAAGATCGGCCTCCTAGAATTTTGAATTAATTAATTAGTTATTATTATGTTCTTAAATAATTTCTAAATTAAGTTAACAGTAGATGATTGAAATTTAATTACATTGCTAATTATTTTTCCAATCATTCCATTCCAGCCAGTGGTATTATTATATACGCCATAATTTTTATCCTCTTGAACTATAAAAGTATAATTGAAACCAAGCTTATTGCTCAGTTCTTGTATAATATCGATTGCATATCCCTCAAATCGATCATTACCAAGTCTCATTGTCAAAGAATCTTTGAGCCATGCGTAAGGTCTTGACTATTAAAATTAAAGATTATAGAAATTAATTAATAATAGCTTATTCACTATTAATTAATTGTTTAATTAACCATTTAATTAATTAATTGTATTTAAAATTGTTTATTTTAATTTAACTTAATTAACTGTTTCTAATATTTTTAAAATTAGATATATAAAATTATATTCTAGTTGGAGGTACTAATTTCATATTGCGTAAATTATAATTATTATTAATTTGCGTACAAGTGAAATTAAAACTCGAAATGTAATGTTCTGCATGCTCAGTTGTTCCTGAGGTTGATATACGACAGGTTTACTTATCCATTTTATGGGTTCAGTATTATTCCAGACTCCAATTTTTGTCAGTCCATCTTCACCTAAATTTAATATATCCAATTGGAATTCGGATCGGTAACCGGCTGTATCAAATTTCACCAATCCGGTAAGACCATGCATTCCATCCTGAAAATTTTAACGCTTGTGATCTTTAGAAATACTAAAGTAATTAATTTCATTACGGATATTGTCGGTATTGTTTTGAATAGTTTTATTAAATTTCAATCATAAATTCATTAATCAGTGGATTTATTTGCCGCGTTCCCTTAGTTCAAATACTTCCAATTTGTAAATTAATTGAAGAGTTAATTATTAAAATAATTAAATTGTCTTATCCCTTTCGGACAATAATATTGAGAAACAGGAACTTACCGGTAAATTAACGGTTCTAATGTAATTTATCAATGTTTCGCCATGCTCCCAAACTTCTGTGCCATCACAAGGTAATGGAGGTATGTATTTAACAATATCGTCCATCTCCTTAAAAGCATGTGCAAACAATTGAACTGCATCGAACATTAGTGCTTGATTAACAGTCAACATATTTACATTACCAAATCCATTAAAATCATTTTTTATTATATTTTTTACTACTGTACTATTAGGATCTATTAAACGAAGCACGGTTATATTCATGCCAGAATACTGAAATGGTTCATAATTGATTGTTTGCAAATCCTGAAAGAAATATTTATAAACTTTTAAAGGCATAACTACCCATCATTGTGAATCACTTTTTCTTTAATTAAATTTATCTAAAAATTAATATAAATTCATTAATTAAATTAATTTCAATTAATTACATCTAAATTAATTTCAATTAATTAAATCTAAATTAATTACAATTAATTACAATCAATTAATTAGAATTTATTACAATCAATTAATTAGAATTAATTACAAAAAATTAATCAGAATTTATTACAATCAATTCATAGCAATTAATTAATTACAATCAATTAGTTATAATCAATTAATTACAATTATGTAAATACAATTAATTGCAATCAATTAATTACAGTTAATTAAATACAATTAAATAAACACAATCAATTAATTACAATCAATTATTTACAATCAATTAATTACAATCAATTATTTACAATCAATTAATTAAATACAATTAAATAAACACAATGAATTAATTACAATCAATTAATTACAATCAATTAATTACAATTAATTAATAACAATCAATTAATTACAATCAATTAATTACAATTAATTAATAACAATCAATTAATTACAATCAATTAATTACAATTAATTAATTGCAATGTATTAATTACAATTAATTAATTACAATCAATTAATAGCAATGAATTAATTACAATTAATTAATGACAATCAATTAATTACAATTAATTAATTACAATCAATTAATTACAATCAATTAATTACAATCAATTAATTACAATCAATTAATTGCAATCATATAAGTAAATAAAGTACTGTCTATATTAATTATTATAATTAAAGACATTTAATTATTTTACAATTAATTCATTAGAATCAATTAAATGCAGTCAATTAATTGCAATTATATAAATAAATAAATTACAGTCTATATTAATTATTATAATTAAAGACATTTAATTACAATTAATTAATACAATTTATCTTATTAATACATATAATTGCTAGAACCATACCAATGAAGTAATAATTAAATTAAATTTTTCTGTAAGTAATCCAACTTGTAATGATTGTTCTAAAACGGATGTCAAAATTTCAATGGAACAGTCGAGTATAATATTTTCCTCTCCTGATAACTTTACGGCACGTAACATATTTCTGAAATTTAAATAATTATAGTTGGCATTTTGTTAGAAGACCAATAGTTTTTGTAAAATTTTATTTCTGAAATTTTTTTTTTATCATTTATCTAATTCTATTAAAAAATTATTAATTATTTTTTATAATTTCTTGTGAATTATCAAACAATGCAATTGGTATTAATTACCTATAATTTGGTCCAATTAATCGACGGATTGTTACCGTATAACCTGTGGCGTTCCATCGTTCAAGAAGAGGTTTCATCATAATTAAACTATCATCATTTTCATAAAGTATCGTGTAAGTTTTCCATTTATATTCCACGACAAGATTGTAATAAATCTAAAAGAGGAATTAAAAAATAAAATTTAATTGTTCGTGAATCACGCCACTGATTATTTTTTTACAGACTGGGAATAGCACTAAGAAATTTTTTAGCCAATTTCAATTTAACGGCTAATTAGAAATCGTTACTCGATGGTTTTCAATTCACGATCAGAAACTAAAATTCACCGAATCACTGACAAATCAAAAACGATTTTTTGATTTAATATTAATTGTTTTTTTTAATAATTTTACATTACCATTGATAAAGCTTTCGAATGGGGATAAATATTTATAGTTTTTAAACTATCATCAGTATTTAAAGTGGTCGCAATATGTGGAATTCCCATTGCATCACACATACTATGAACATGATGAACACTTTGTTTTCTCTGTGGACCAAAAATTCCAACAACTCCTTCTTGCACAAGTTCACAGACTGGAAAAATGAAAATAAATTATTAAATCATTTAATAATTTATTTTATTCGCTGAATTTCAATATTTACGAAATATCTCAATATTACGCGAAACTTTATACAAGATTAAGAAAATTTATTTTTGTAGATAAAAAATTGAAATATCAATGTAAATTTAATTTAATTAATTTATGATAAATTTAATATAATTAATTTATGATAATTTTAATTTAATTAATTTATGATTAATTTATAATTAATTTATAATTAAATGTACCTTTACTATGTACATCCCACAAATCATCATCTACATTTATTTGATAAACTTGCATATATTTCATTGATAAATTGAGATCTATGTGTCTATTTTTATTAACTGCCATTGCTGAGATACCAAATGCACTTTCGATTCCTTCACCTCCTTCAAATAATCCTCCTGTACAATATTTTTAAAAATATTTTTTAATTAAAAAAAAAATGTTGTAAACAAAAAAACACTTATTTTCACTTTTTTATATAATTTTGTTTAAATATATTTATTTTTTTAATGGTTCTTATCTAAATACCTATATTATAACTTTTATATCCGATACTGTAAGGCAGGATAGCCACCAGCAAAATCTCCCACAACATTTTAATATCATTCTGAAAAAAAATTAAATTTTTTTTTAAATTTTTTCTGGAGGAATCCAAGCAAATGAAAATATTTTATTTTAAATTTGATAAAAATTTTATTTTTCTATAAAAAAAATATTCTTAAAATGTAAAGCAAAAAAAAAAATCTATTGTAAAAAATAAAAATGAGAAATTTGATTGTTTAACAACTATTTTTGTATAGTGTCCCTATGCAATAAAAATTTGTATACGAGAATCGTTTCCTGGCAGTTAGTACTTAACCATCTGACATCATGTAAACATAGTAAAAAGACGCGGCGCTTCCTCTTCTCTCATAAATATTTATATCTTTCCAAAATCTATTGCAATGAGGCGCGAGTTTGATTATTGATTAAATTATGCTCAATGGATTTATTTAATTTTCTCACTCAATCAACTTACTCTTTTTTTTAATTGATAAAATTTTTTTCCTCAAAAATTTCATGATAGTAATTATAAAACCAAAAAAAAAAAACAAATTCAAAATTCTCTCTACGTCTTAAAAAAATCTTTTTTTTCAGATATTACTAAGAGAAAGAAAAATAAAAAAAAAAATGAAAATTTTTGAAAATTGTCAATTGAGTTCAACGACAGGGAAAAAAAAATTATTCTTTTTGGTATTCACAACTGAAATCGTTATATATTTAGAATTCAGCGTTCCATTCTCGGTGTGAGCCTCCAAGGTTAAAATCAAATGAAAATATTCGATTCTAATTTAGAGTATATATATAATTTATTTCAAATTTTAATTACACAATCTCTACAGCGGACAGATTTTGATATTTTTACATTTTGCATTTTATTTTCAAAAAAAAAGGACTTCATGTACTTTTGGAAAAACGCAAATCCCAAAATTATAAATTTGCTTTTTTATTTTAATAATTTTATTGACTTTTTCAATGTTAAAATTTAAGTTTTTAACAATTTTTAATTTTTTGCTTTGGTATTTATTATTTTCTTTATTCTATTTTTTTTATTATTTATTTATCTATTTATTTATTATTATTAATATTATTTATATTTTTTTAACAATTATTTTTATTTATGTAAATATAAATTTAATGAAATATATTTTTTATGTACCTAGTTGTAAAATTAATTCAAATATAAGTAATTTAAAAATTAAAATTTTCCAAAAATATTAAAAATTATTATTATATTAAAAAATAAAATTAAGGTGGAAATTAATGCAATTCAAATCTGAGAATGAAAAATTAGCTACGATACAAACTTATTGGCTGTATGCCAATTTTTCTTAGTTTCTTGGAACCTTTATATTTAAAATCGCTCTTGTCATATTTTCAAATTAAAACAATTATGACGAGTTTCAGGAATTTTCAAATCTTACGAAATTATTGTTATATAAAAATATTTATTCAATTTAAAAAATACAAAACTCTTTCTTATAATTAACTCCGTTATTATTATTAATATTATTATTTTATTATTATTGTTATCATCATTGTAATTATTATTTTACTATTATTATTATTATTATTATTATTATTATTATTATTATTATTATTATTATTATTATTATTATTAATTTGTTTTCTCAATTTTATTATGTTAATTATTTATTAAGAAGGAAAAATTTGTAATTCTTTGACATACAATTTTTCTTAATTTATAGAGAATGTAAGAAAAAAATTTTAAACAATTTTTTTTAATGGAAAAACTTGTATGAATGTACAATTGAATTGTAGTTATTGTATTGATAAATTATTTTATAATAATAATTATTTCACTTTAAAAAATTTATAAAAATACAATCAATATGTAATAAATAATGTCATTAAATTTACAAAAATTTGAATGAAAAATAGTCTTGTTAAAATTGTTTTTAAAAAAATATAAATAAAAAAAAAGAAAACTGTAATTATTATTTAAGAAAAAATAAAATAAAATTTTCATATATATTGTGTGAAAAAAATAGAAAATTTCTTTTTCTTATCTTACCTTTTACGTTTAACTATTACACTATGGATGATTAAAGACGGAGAACGAGAAAAACTCAAAAATTTGAAACACAATTCTTTCAAGTGATATAATTGAGAAGAAAATTTTTTGCGCAAGCTCCATTCCCACTTTAAAATTTTCCTCCTTCACTCCAGTTTAGAAAAAAAAAAAAAAAATTTAAAACGATTTAATTATTTTTGTCGCATTTAACGTTTATATGTTGTTGAATTCAAATTTTATGTGGAGAATATATCAAGGCTCACTTCCCCGTGTTCTTCTGTTCTTTAAACGACAGTGCCTGTTGTTTGCTTCAGCATCCAACACTAGTGGAACTATTTTTAGGACCCTTCAATTTTTTTTCCTCTCAATTTCCATGTGTATTATTTTCTCATTTATATTTTCAAACAATTTTTCTTTTACTATATCATTTTTTTTGTATCTCTTTACTCCACGAGTAAGAGGAGCACAAGAAGACTATTTTCCCCTTTTTTTTTTTTAGTTTTTCACATATTTTTTTTTCAATATATATTTTTTCTGATTAATTATATATTTATGTCAAATTTTACCAAATTAATTATTGACTATTGTAATTTAAATAAAAAATTTCATTTGTTTTATAAACTTAAATAATTTGGTTATTTTGCATTTATCAACGATTGATAATATAGAAATTGATGATTCTCATCTCGATTATCAATAAAAATTGATTATTATCTCAGAAACTGAGAAGCAAAATGAAAATTGACTATTAACATAATAAATTAGCAAATATTAATAGTAATTGATGAATATTATTATTTTGCTAATAAATTAAATTTACCGATAATAAAAGAATGAAAACTTGTTGAAAAAAATTAAAGAAAAATCGCTATTTTTCACAAATCACGTAAGTTTCTTCTTTTAAAGGGTAATATTAACGGATTTATTTTTTTTAACTTGTCATTTACATTCCCAGGATTAATTTTATGCGGCAGAAAAAAATTTAGATAAGCTTTAAACGCATAAAACTTATTCCTTATGACTCCCATAACAGAAATTCACTTGAATTTTTGATTTTTGTTAATTTGGTTAATAATGACAAGCTGTCCCCATTTACCCCAAAAATTTGAAAATTTAGAAATCCGAGACAAAATACTGAAACAGTTTGACTTTGATTTTCAAGTTTTTATGCATTGAGCGATAACTTTTTTTATCTTGCTGCCAAATGTCAAGATAAAAGTTTGGCAATCCTCAAAACCTCTTGCAGGTGATCTGAGGTTAAAATATTGAAATTGAACTTAATTTTAAAACTGTAAATTAAGCTCCAAAACCTCTTGTCCCCATTTACCCCAACTGACCCTATTATTTTGAATGCATCTTAATTTTATCAAAAAGAAAAGTTTTAAACTCGTTAAAAAATGCAAAAAATAATTTTCGACAATATGTAAAAGATTATTAAATATATTGTTATCCTTGAATTTTTATGCTTCTTGCAATAAAAATATAGAAACGTGAAAAGATTAAAAACAATTATTGTTGCCTTGCAATTTTTAATTTTTTTACGACTAAAGTTTTGAAATCGTTAAAAAAAACTTTAAAAATATTATTCTGACTGAAGTAATTGAGAAATTATAAAATTCAGTAAATATATTTCAACAAATTAGTATAAAAATTTATTATTATCACAGTAATTAAGAATCAAAATAAAAATTTAGTAAAATTAATATCTATTATTGTAATTGATGAGTATAATAAAAATTATGGATTTTAATATAAAATTGAGTATTTTTTTTATATAAAGTATAAAGATTGATTTTTATCATAGTAATTAAGAATCAATATAAAAATTGAGGATTATCGTAAGAAAATGTTATCAATTAGGGTTCGTGCACATAATACGTCACGCGTACAGGGGGAGGGGGGGGTTCTAGAGATTTGTGACGACCCATAGAAAAAATGACGCTAATGTATGGAACCAAGTGTGACATGGGGTGGGGGGGGGTAAAAAAAAGGGTAAAAACAGCTTGACGTATTATGTGCACGACCCCTTATAGTAATGGATGAATATTCAAAAAACTATGAGTTATCATAAAAATTGAGATTCATCATTAAAAAATTGACAATTATCATAAAAATTGAGGATTAGTTTAAAAATTTATTATCATCATACAAATCGAGAATTATCATTGAAAAATTAAAGATTGGTATATAGAAATTGAGTATATTATCAAAATAATCAAAAACTATCGTCAAAAATGAGGATTACAATAAAAATTGATGACTATAATAATAAGTGATGACTATTATATAGAAATTGTGGATCATCATACAAAATTGAGAATTATTATTTGGAAATTGATGATTGTCATCTCGACTATCAGTAAAAATTGATTAGCATCACAGTAACTGAGAAGCAAAATGAAAATTGACTATTAACATAATAAATTAACAAATATTAATAGCAATTGATGAATATTATTATTTTGCTAATAAATTGAATTTATCAATAAATAAGGAATGAAAACTTGTTGAAAAAAATTTAAGAAAATATATATTATTTTGAATGCATTTTAATTTTTTCATAAAGCAAAGTTTTAAACTCGTTAAAAAATACAAAAAAATATTTTCACTTTATTTGAAAGAATATAAAATGTTGTTATCCTTGAATTTTTATGCTTCTTGTAATAAAAATATAGAATCATGGAAAGATTAAAAACAATTATTGTTGCCTTGCAATTTTTAATTTTTTTACGACTTAAGTTTTGAAATTGTTAAAAAAAACTTTAAAAATATTATTCTGACTGAAGTAATTGAGAAATTATAAAATTCAGTAAATATATTTCAACAAATTAGTATAAAAATTTATTATTATCACAGGGTAATTGAGAATCATAAATAAAATTGAGTATTAACTATTAATGAATAACTGTATATTAAAGTAATTGATGAATATCATAAAAATTGTAGATTATTATTCAAAAATAATCATCTTAAAAATTAAGGATTATTATAGAAATTGAGTACTATTAAAATAATCGAAAACTATCATCGAAAATTAGGATTACCATATAAATTGAAAACTATAATAATACTTGCTGAATATTATATAAAAATTGTTGATTATAATAAAAAATTGAGGATTTTTATAGAAATTATGATTGTAATCTCGATTATAAAAATTGACGATTAGTATAAAAGTTGATTATTATCTCAGAAACTGAGAAGCAAAATGAAAATTGACTATTAACATATAATAAATTAACAAATATTAATAGTAATTGATGAATTTTAATATTTTGCTAATAAATTAAATTTACCGATAATAAAAGAATGAAAACTTGTTAAAAAAAATTATATATTTTTTTGAATGCATCTTAATTTTATCAGAAAGAAAAGTTTTAAACTCGTTAAAAAATGCAAAAAATAATTTTCGACAATATGTGAAAGGTTATTAAATATATTGTTATCCTTGAATATTTTTATGCTTCTTGTAAGAAAAATATAGAAACGTGAAAAGATTAAAAACAATTATTGTTGCCTTGCAATTTTTAATTTTTTTACGACTTAAGTTTTGAAATCGTTAAAAAAAACTTTAAAAATATTATTCTGACTGAAGTAATTGAGAAATTATGAAATTCAGTAAATATATTTCAACAAATTAGTATAAAAATTTATTATTATCACAGTAATTGAGAATAAAAATAAAAATTTAGTAAAATTAATATCTATTATTGTAATTGATGAGTATAATAAAAATTGTGGATTTTAATATAAAATTGAGAATTTTTTTTATATAAAGTATACAGATTGATTTTTATCATAGAAATTAAGAATCAATATAAAAATTGAGGATTATCGTAAGAAATTGTTATCCATTAGGGGTCGTGCACATAATACGTCACGCGAACAGGGGGAGGGGGGTCTAGAGATTTGTGACAACCCATAGAAAAAGTGGCGCTAATGTATGGAACCAAGTGTGACATGGGGGGAGGGGAGGGGGGTCAAAAAGGGTAAAAATAGCTTGGCGTATTATGTGCACGACCCCTTATAGTAATTGATGAATATCATAAAAATTGATGATTGTAATTAAAAATTGACGATTATTAAAAAAAATTAATAATAATCATGCAAATGATGGATTATCAAACAAATGATGGACCTGTATGAAAATAAATCGCAATATAGTTTTACCTTCAGCTGTAAAAGAAGACAATATAATTTATTATCTAAAGACGATTGATACACGTTTCCAATATTACTTTTTTACAGCTATATTAAAAAAACCATTAAAGTCATTCGTATATAAAGCAAGTGTTTAAGAAAGTTTTCAAAATTTGAAAAGTTGAATTCTAGTTCAAAATAAAATTTAAAATGTATAAACATTTTGCAATTATATTTCTTCTTTCCAGATGTCTTTTTGTACCTGTAACTTGCAATAAAGAAGATGATCTAAATAAGAAATATGTAATTATATCACTTACTATTTTTAAATAAATAAAAATTATAAATTTCAGTAATACAATTTAACGAATCTCCTGTGATTAAAAAACTCTTAATTTCTTTTCAATTTTTTCTTGAGATTTATTTTTTAGAATTTGATAAAAACGTTGTAAGCCACGTGATAAAGAACAAAAAAATATATAATTAAAAACAGAAATATAATTAAAAAGATTTTCATTACAAATTAATAATTATAGAAAAATGGATATCATTTTACATTCACAAATATTTATAATTGCAGATAACAATTAGAGAAATATATAGAGATTATGTGAATATTTTTTATACTAATTTCGGAAAACTAATAAATTGTCCGTCATGGAATTTAAACATTGAAAAATGCAATGATGAAGTAAATGACATTAAATTAAAGGTAAAAGAGTTTACTGAAAATTCAGATGTACAAGAAAGTAGAGATAAGTTAACAACATTAATTCAATATACGGATATGATTAAAAGAGAAAACAAAACTTGTTTGAGACAGGAAGAAAACCCAACTTTGAATGAGATCAAAATATTGGTTAGTTATAAAGAAAATTAAATTAAATTAAATAAATAAAAATTTATTGTCAATAATTTCTAATACAAATGAAATATTGCATTAAATACGAATTATTATTCAAATAGTAAATATTTTATAAAAATAACAAATTTTATATGAATATTGATATGCGTTTTTATTTTATTTTTTCTTCTAGCTCTATCTCATTAAAGAAAAATTTGATTTAGTAAGTGTTACCAATTAACAATATTATATATACATTTTGTCAATAATTTTTGGGTAATTTAAAGTGTTTTTCCATAAATATAGTATTTAAAAAAATTTAGAAATTTGTTAGCGATTTTCGGTACATTTTGTTAATATTTTTTTATTTAATGTTTTGTGATTTTATGCCGATTATTTTTGTTTTTGTTGGTTTAGTGACAAAAGCATTGTTGTTTTTCGTTGATGTTGACACATTTTCATTAGAAAAGTAGAATTGGTGATTCTGTTAAATTATTATTTTTATATTGTACCTATATATAAATATGATTTTTTTACTACGCTAATATTAAAAAAAATTACAGGAAGATAGTGTGGTATTCCAAAAAATGATGATTATGGATGCTTTTAAAGCATATTTCTATCATTTAAATTTATATATTACAACTTACCCTTGTTATACTGAGACATCAGAAGTGACAAATGGAATAAATGATTTTAAAAATTATATTAAAGAATTAAATTTAAAGTTTCCCTGGGTTATATATGAAGATATATCAAGTTTTGGGAAAAGTTTTATATCAAATGTCACAGATTTTGTAACTCGTATGAATAAAAATGCTACAGGATGTAAGGAAAAAGTCAAAGAATTTGATTATACAAGAAATATTACAATGAATTTGGTAAATAAAATTTTCAAACTAATTATAGTTAGTGTGTGTGGGAACATATTGCTGTAAGGTTATCGTATCATTATATGTATGGGGTGTAAGATTACGTCTTAAGCCTGTAGTAAACTTACGGTGGACTTTAAAGATATCCGCCCTGATAGTAAGGTTATATGTAAAGGTTGTGGTAAGCTCACAATATTAACTTACCATAACCTTACCGCGTTAGCTTACCACAGCCTTTACATGTAATCTAACAATCAGGGCCGTAAGTTTATTGCCTTACAACATTATGTTGTGCTGTGTGGGTATTTATTAAGATAATATAAAAATAAAATTTTCTAAATATGTAATTGCAGCAAACAAGTTATTCGAATTTTGTTGAAAAGATTGATAAAAAAGAAGTGGAAAAATTCAATAACTCAATTTACCTTGTACCAAGCAATATAACAAACTCTGAAATAGTTCTAAACAACAAAAGGGTAAGTGGTCTTTCTTTTGTGAGTGAACCAATGAGCATTCCCAGATAGCACGTAACATTGCAGCAACCTTGCGGCAAGCTTCAAATGTCCCACTTAACTCAAACTTGTATGGTAAGCTTACCGAAAGATTGCAGTGTAAGATTACTGCAAGATTGCACAATAATATTATCGCAAGATTGCTCAGTAAGCTTGGCGCAAGCTTGCGGAATATAAAGAAAAAATTTGGAGGGGAAGAAATTTATTTTTGTATACTGCTGTGCTGATTGGGCAAGGTTATTAGCAACCTTGCACCAACCTTGCCACAAGCTTACCATGCAAGCTTGCGATAATCTTATTATGCAATCTTGCAGTAACCTTACACTGCAATCTGTCGGCAAGCTTACCATGCAAGCTTGTGTTAGGTGAAACATTTGAAGCTTGCGGCAAGGTTGGCAATATTGAGCGTCAAGCTTGCTGCAAGCTTACGTGCTGTCTGAGTTATATTTAAGGGATTACTGATATTTAAGAGCGTAAAAAATAAAGAATTAAAAAAAAAATTTAGCCGTTTTTAAAAATTTTTTTAAACGAAGTTTATTTTATCGAATAGTACATATTTCTATGTACTTGTAAATAATTTTATATTAAAAAATGTTAGTAACTGTGGAAACTGTAGACCTTGCACTAAAACACTTTTTTGTCAGCTGCTTGCAGTGACTATGGGTACGATAAATCAGACAGAGTTTAACTAAAATTAAAAAACAACCAAAATCCCGTTAGTATATTATATCACCTCCTGCGTGAATAAAGGGTTTTGAAGAAAAAAAATTTTCTAGAAATGGCGATGATTTTTCCTCAAAAATCGTGATTTAAGGGGTTTCAAATTTGGTCAAATAAAAATTCGATTTTCGATTTTTTAAAAATGGGTTATATGGGCTTTTTTTATCTAGAATGCATAATTTTTTTTATGTCACTTTTTCAAAAATTCGAAAATACGTTTTTTAACCAACTTTTTTTTTACACTGTAAATATAATTTTTTTGTTCAAAAAACTGATTTCTCGGATTAAAACAAATTGATTAATCTATATAAAGTCTATACTTTAATTAAAATCTATAAATTATATCATTTTTTAATTTTTGAAAAAAATATTTTTTTCGTATTTTTTGAAATAACTTTTTTTTTCATGAAAATTTTTAATAAATTTTGTCAACACCGTATTCCTGGCATAAAAACGAATCGATTGATAAATATAAAGTTTACATTTTACCAAAATATTTGTAAAATTGATCGCTATTTTAGTTGTAATCCTTCTTTTAATCTTGAATATAAGTGTATCATGCGATGAGGAAGCTAAATGGTCATATGAATTGAATACCCTGTTGTATGTATAAAGAATCCCTAAAAATTTCAGCCCGATTGGTTTAGCGGTTTTGGAAAAATCGTAGTCCGCTCCGATTTTTATGATATTTCGAAAAAACATTCTCGAGAGTATCACAGAAAAAAAGGTGGGTAAAAAGTTGTAAAGATAGAGGATCAAAGTCGTTAGGATACAGGGTAAAGGATAAATTTGTGATGGATAAAAATGTTACTAAAATATTACTAGAAAAATGGATGTCATATTTGAGTAAACTGTCTAATTTTAATAAAAATATTAGTAATTTTACACTTATTAAATCCACAAATTTTTTATGAATAAGTAATTGCATGTGGAAATATTTTGCCTATAATTATTGTCTATTAATAAAAATATCTTTGACTAATACAACTGACAGCTGACGACAGTGCGTAAATAATCAGAACTGGGAAATTACAACTCAACGTCTGTATTGTTGCACGAAAGCAGAATTGGGTAGTAACTGAATTTTTTGTGCATATTCGGCGTGTCAGGTCATCGAGATATTTCGAGTTCAAGATATGACGTCAGAGGCCTGGAGAGACAACAAACAGACGACACAATGTTATTCTTACGGGGAAGAAAATTTGTTTCCACTTTCATCAATTTTATTCATTCTTTAAACACGGAAAACGCTTGTTGACATATAATAAAATTAAAATGTGTGTTGATAATTAATTTTGTTATATATTTGATTCATTTGCATTGATAGATTCTCTGAATTCGTGATAAAATATAAATTTTGAGGTTAGGGGTGTTTGTTTACTGACATGAAATCTTTTACTGCTGTGGTAGTTCCCACTTAAAATATATATTTTATATCTTTTTTAATAACATGCATACTGGATATTGTTTAATAATGTTAAAATGAAAAATGTGATTAGTAAATAAACTTTTCTAGCCTCAATATTTATATTTTATCACGAATTCAGAGAATCTGTCAATGCAAATGAATCAAATATATAACAAAATTAATTATCAACACACATTTTAATTTTATTATATGTCAACAAGCGTTTTCCGTGTTTAAAGAATGAATAAAATTGATGAAAGTGGAAACAAATTTTCTTCCCCGTAAGAATAACATTGTGTCGTCTGTTTGTTGTCTCTCCAGGCCTCTGACGTCATATCTTGAACTCGAAATATCTCGATGACCTGACACGCCGAATATGCACAAAAAATTCAGTTACTACCCAATTCTGCTTTCGTGCAACAATACAGACGTTGAGTTGTAATTTCCCAGTTCTGATTATTTACGCACTGTCGTCAGCTGTCAGTTGTATTAGGGTCATTTGGGGTAAATGTAAACGGATTTGCTTAGTTTCAACAATAACGTAAGTTTTTTATTTTAAAAAGCAATACTTCCGGTTTTCTACTGCATGAACTTGTTACTTCACTTCCCTAGAAACATTTTATGAGGTACAAAAAAATATTGATCAACTTGAATCGCTTAAAACTGACTGTTTACATTTACCCCGAGATTTTGAAATTTTCCCAAAATTCGGGGTAAATGTAAACACCCCTGTAGTTTAAAGAGGTTTAAGAAAAAAGTTATCCCAAGTATACTACTGTGTAAAGGGATGTAAAAACTGAAAAAAAATTCTTGGTAGATGTAAAATAATTGAACCAATTGATTGATATGCAACATATAAAATAAGCAATCATTACCATAACAAAACTAGTAATGTAAAAACTTGAATAACTTCAATAAATTTTAATAGATTTTCATTCAACTTGGTGAAAATAAGTTTTTAAGGTTGCTGAATAAGATTCTAAAATCGAATTTTTAAATTTCAAAATGGCGGACAAACATAAAAATATTGTTAAAAATTGATCAAATTTGCTTGAATCTCGCTACTCGGGGGTTTTTGAGGTCACTGAATACGAATTTGAAGACAAATTTAAAATTTTAAAAATGGCGGATCCAATATGGCGGATGAACCTAAAAATATTTTTAAAAATTGATCAAATTTGCTTAAATCTCGCTACTCGGAGGTTTTCGAGGTCGCTGAATACGAATCTGAAGTCAGATTTAAAATTTTCAAAATAGCAGATTCAATATCGCGAAAGAGGTTTTTAAAAATTGATCAAATTGGACTAAATTTCTCTGCCCACTGACATTTAGAAAATATGAATATCAACACAATTAATATATTACGAAATTTTTCCTCTTTATAAAACATAAGTTTATAAACTTTCTAAAATTTCAATAATAATTTTTTTAAAAGGTCTAAGGAGAAAGTAATCTAAGTATTTAAATTCCAAGATATAGAAAAACGTATATTAGAATTAGTATTAATATCAATCAACCAATCCATAAATCAATCATCCAATCAATCCACCAATCAATCAATCACTCAATCAATCAACCAATCAATCCACCAATCAATCCACCAATCAATCACTCAATCAACCAATCTATAAATCAATCATCCAAGCAACCAATCTATCCACCAATCAATCACTCAATCAACCAATCATCCAATCAATCCACCAATCAATCAATCAGTCAATGAATCAAGCAATCCACCAATCAACCACTCAATCAACCAATCTATAAATCAATTATCCAATAAACCAATCAATCCAATCCACCAATCAATCCACCAATTACTCAATCAACCAATCCATAAATCAATCGTCCAATAAATCAACCAATCAATCCATCAATCAATCTATCAATCAATGACTCACTCTTATTCTAGGATTCCTACGTACCTGAGTTTTATTCACCAATCGTGAAGAATCGCTTTCCTATATTTTAAACACTTAAATGCACTATGCACTACTATGCAGGTCTATACCTGCAACTGACTAACACGAAGGAGATATAAAAGAAGATCCAATTTCGTTTTTTATGTAATTTTACAGGGCCAAAATAATGTAATTGTGAAATAGAAGCAAATTTATTGAATTATTTTCTTTTAAAATGCAGCAGAAATTCTGTTTACATTTACCCCGAGTTTTCGAATTCTCGGGGTAAATGTAAACACTTAATTATCTATTAACTGAATTTACGAAATTAAAAAATCAAAGTCAGCTTTTGTTAAGGGATTCATAAGGAATAATTAGAAATTTTAGTTTGAATTTTTAGTTCATTTTTATTCAAATGCGAGACAAAATACTGAAACAGTAAAACTTTGATTTTCAATCTTTCATGCATTAAGCGACAAACTGGAGTATGGCTTTGACAATTGTCGAAAAAAAAATTAGCAATACTCAGAACCTGTTGCAGGTGAGCTGAGGTTAAAATATTGGGGTCGAACTTAATTTTAAATCTGTAAATTAAGCTGCAATATCTGCTGTTTACATTTACCCCTTGTTTACATTTTCCCCAAATGACCCTAGTCAAAGATATTTTTATTAATAGACAATAATTATAGGCAAAATATTTCCACATGCATAATTACTTATTTATATAAAATTTGTGGATTTAATAAGTTAAGTGAAAAATTACTAATATTTTTATTAAAATTAGACAGTTTACTCAAATATGACATCCATTTTTCTAGTAATATTTTAGTAACATTTTTATCCATCACAAATTTATCCTTTACCCTGTATCCTAACGACTTTTATCCTCTATCTTTACAACTTTTTACCCACCTTGTTTTCTGTGATATGTACTTTTGATATATGCAATTTTGTTCAACAAAAGAAATAAAAAACATAACAATAAAAAGCACATTCCCAGATAGCACAACAATTTGCAGCAATTCTTGAGCAAGTTTACAATGCCAAATTTGTTAGTTTGCAATGTAAATTTGCTGCAAAACTGTAGCAAATAGCTATATGTCCACGCTTTGCGAAGTTTGCATTGCAAGTTTGCAGAAAAATTTTACATACAATTTGCAGAAAATTTTTATGGCAAACTTGAAGAAAATTTGCTGATAATTTGCTCAAATTCATGTCATGCGCAGTAGTTTTCTATGGCACTTAGGGCTGCGCAATAGATTTTAGTCGCCTTTCCTTTAGGAAAGGTTTGCAGTAACAAAATATCATCATATTTACAACAATGACATTTTTTAATTTTTGTCGAAAAACGTCCTCAAGTTTTCTCAAAATTTGTCATAAAATTTTCCTGCAATTTCTCTGAGAAATTTTTCTGCAAACATGCAATGCGAACTTCGCAAAGCGAGGACATATAGCTATTTGCCAAAGTTTTGCAGCAAATTTACATTGTAAACTTATAATTTGGCATTGCAAATTTGCTGCAAAAAGTTGTGCTATCTGGGTTGATAATTAAAAACATTTTTTTCTGCACTGCCTGTTTTACATTATAAACCATGCGATTAAGAACAAAAAAATATAAAATTAAAAACAGAAATATAATTAAAATGATTTTCATTAAAAATTAATAATTATAGAAAAATGGATATCATCTTACATTCACAAATATTTATAATTGCAGGAGAGACTTAACGAAATACACGAGATATATGTGACTCTTTTTTTAAAAAATTTCGAAATAATAAAAAATTGTCCGACAAGGAATTTAACCGTTGAAAAATGCAATGATGTAATAAATGATATTAAATTAAAGATAATAAATATTAATGAAAATACAGATGTTCAAGAGAGTACAGTTAATTTGGAAAACTTATATACATTTCAAAGATGGTGGTCCCTCGAAAAAAACAAAACTTGTATGAGCCTGAAAAGAAACCTAAGTTTGAATCAGAACAAAATATGGGTTAGTTATAATAGTATATTGTGCACCAAGTACCGAAAGAAGATGTTTTCCGACAAGTGCAAAATTTGCACAAAGTCGGAAAATGTTCTTTCGTACGCGTTACACACAGTACTTTGTGCGATATCACTTTAGAGAAAATGCTTTTTATTAAATAAATAACAAGCTACAATTTAAATTCATAAAATATGTAATAATTTCTATATAATTAGTTTTGTACACAAATTTAACTGCCAATAGCGAGCAAAAGTCAAAGTTCTACAAAAATAAAGTCATAACGCTCGATGCCGCCAGCGTACATACTTGTAAACATCCTTCAAAGTACTTTTCTGCACTAGTACAGCAAAGTAATGTTTTCCGCCTACTTTACAAGCATGTAAAGTAATGCCTTTCTTTAAGGTGTTGCACAAAGAAAATTAAATTCCTAATGTAAAAAAAATATGTTATGTTTCGTAAATATAAAAATTGATTTCAACTTTCATTAATATAATTTTATAGTCAATAATTCTTAATACAAAAAGAAATATTGCATTAAATACGAACAATTGTTAAAATGGTAAATATTTTCTAAAAATAACATATTTTAGTGCAGATGATAATTTTTTTGGATTTTTTTAATCTAGTAAAAATGTTAAATGTTTTTTGTTTAAATCCACTATTTATTTTTAAAATTCACAATTATATGAGGTTTCGCCCGTCAACGTCAAGCCTCATCAGATTTAAATACTGGAATTAAATTTAAATTTTTAAAGATTTTTATAAAAATTTAATTCCAATATTTAAATCTGATGAGGCCCGACGTTGACGGGCGAAACCTCATATAATTGTGAATTTATAAAATAAATAGTGGATTTAAACAAAAAACAATTAACATCTTTAATAACAAATTTTATATGAATATTATATATTATGGTCTTAATATTTGTAATTTTTTAATTTTTTTTAGATCCATGTCATTGAAGAAAATTTTAATTATGTAAGTGTTACCAATTAATAACAATATATTATATATAAATTTCTCTCAATAATTTTTAGATAATTTAAAGAGTTTTTCCATAAATACAGTATTTAAAAAAATTCAGAAATTTGTTAGCGATTTTCGGTACATTTTCTTAATTTTTTTTTTATTGAATTTTTTATAATTTTATGCTGCTTATTTTTGTTGACAATGCTTTTGTGACGAAATCATTGTTGTTTTTAGTTAATTTTGACACATTTTTATTAGAAAAGTAAAATTGGTAATTTTGTCACAATAATTTTTTTTTATATTGCATACAAATATGATTTTTTTATTTCACTAATAAAAAAAATGTTCAATATGTAGTTACAGCAAAATACCTCGATGGAAATTAAGAACCTGCTTATAGATGCTTTTAAAGCATATTTATATCATTTAAATTTATATTTTACAACAACTTACCCTTGTTATATTGAGACATCAAAAGTGACAAATGGAATACCCAAGCATGATGTTGAAAATTATATTAAAGAATTAAATTCAACGGTGCCCTTGCTTAGAAATTTTGATTCCAACGGATTTGATATTAATTTTAAGCTTGGGAAAAGTTTTGTATCAAATTTCACAGAATTAGTAACGGGTATGAATAATAATGCTGCAGGATGTAAGAAAAAATTCGAAGAATCTGATTATACAACTCATATTAAAATGAATTTGGTAAATAAAATTTTCGAAACTAACTAACTGGTTACTCCTAATTTGGTTTATTGTAATATTTTAATATATAATCATTTAAAAAACTTATTACTTTTTTATTTTTAAAAAAATTTTAATTTATATTTTAACAATTCGTAATAATTTATAATATTTATTAAGATTTAATATAATAAAACTAAAAATAAAATTTTTTAAATATGTAATTGCAGAAAACATTTGAAGACTGTGTAGATGACATTGTAAAAAATCTAATGAATAAAAATTATTTTCCACAAGTCTGTAAAATAAATGTATCAGAAACTGCAACAGTCTCTGAAACAACTAAAGGATTAGAAACTATAACAGTTTCTGTAAGAGACAATGGAATAGATTCTGAAACAAGCCAAGGATTAGAAACTATAACAGTTTCTGTAAGAGACAATGGAATAGATTCTGAAACAAGCCAAGGATTAGAAACTACAAAAATCTCTGTAACAATCAGTACAGACTCTGGAATAGTTGTTAGCAACTCTGCTCAAAGTGTTTTTTCTTTTGTGCCAATTTGGGGTATTCCACCACTATTACTTGTTTTGATGGCAATTATTTAAACATTTAAATTATGTGAATAGAATTTCTTTTGATGCAAGTAAAAAAAACAGAACAAGAAAATTCTTGTTCATAATCTTTAATTTCAAAGTTACATGAACGTTCACTTAGTTCTAAGTTGAAAACACTTTTAAAAAATTCCAAGTTTAAAAAAATAAAATTGTTTCTTAAAACATTTACAAATAATTTGTTGAGTTTAGAACAATGAATCAGCCATGACAAATTCACTAAATCAGTAATAAATTTTACAAATATATTAACAATATTGATATATTGACAAACAGATTTTTCTTTTATATTTTTCACATATTTTTCATTGGATCTTTGGACCCATCTTTTAATCTAATTGCGTAATTATTTTATGATTTTACTTTTCTCTATTTCAATGGTAATAAAAATAAAAAACAAATTATGTGATTTATCTTCTTCTTTTATCAAAATTAGAAAAACTTAATTGTTTTTAGAAAAAGAAACACGGAGAGAAATAGATGGTAAGAAATTATGATCTTAAGATGGTTAAAAGTAGATGGTATCCGGTACAATCTATATGCTACTCGGTACCATCTAGATGATAAAAAAGTGAGGTTATGTTACCCACTTTACAATCAAGATGGTACTCCGTACAATATGTATAGTATCCCGTACAATCTAGATTCCTGTCCGTATATGTAAGATCAAATATGATACCTGATACTATCTAGATAGTACCCCGTACCATCTATTTCTCTCCATGAAGTTTTAATTTATCTAAACTTGGGAAACTGTTTAATTTTTAATTTGAAAGCACTTAGTTTTTATTTCACCTTAATTGGTCTTAATTGATTGTAAAAATATATTTCTTGCAAATAAAAAGAAAACTTAAAAAATATCAATTTTTATATATACCATCCTATATATTCTTTATTATTACATATATATTTATAATATTCTATTCATCATGTTTCATTTATTTTTTGATTATCATCTTTAATGGTGTTAATTTTTGTATAAAAAGGCTTGTCTCATTTATTTAAAAAAAAGTAATAAATTACTTATTAGGGTCAACCGGGGTAAATCCGAACGCTTTTAGTAAGTTTCAACAATAACATAAGTTTTTTCTTTAAAAAAAAAATACTTCCGGTATTCTGGTGCATGAAGTTGTTACTTTACTTCCATAGAACAATTTTATGGGGTAGCAAAAATTTTTGATAAATTACAATCGCAGGAAACTTAGCGTTCGTATTTACCTCGATACTTTGCAACTTTCCTAAAATACCGGGGTAAATACGAACGCCACTGTATTTCAGAAAAATCTTAGGGAAAATAAATTTAAAGTATTGCAATTGTTAAACTTATATAAAAACTCAAAAAAATACGACAATAAACCTATTATGTAATAATGCATCATATATAAATACAAAAATCAAACAGGTTAAAAATTAAAATGCATTACACAATTAAAACCTTCAATAACTTTATCAAATCATAACGGATTTTTGCAAAACTTGGTACAAAAAGTATTTTGGAGTGATTGAATGTAAATACAAAAATAAAAGTCAAATTTTTTAAATTCAAAATGGCGTACTTTCCTAAAACTTATTTTTAAAAATGATCAAATTTGCTAACCCTGAAACCCCCCGAGTAACAATTTTCGAGCGAATCCAATGAATTTTTTAATTCTCGTCCGCCATTTTGAATTTTGAAAAACTGACTTCAAATTGGTAATTAGCGACCCCAAAAACCGTAGAATACCAAATTTTATTAAGATCCTGAAAAACTTTTTTCAACAAACCATTTGGCAAAAAAATTGAAACACTCCTTCGAGAGAACAGAGATTAAGTTTCTGCTTATTAATTACTAACGAGGATACGTATAGAAAGAAAAACTTTTTTCTATGTACTTTTATAATGTTAAAATAATAGTGTAATCAAATAAAAACAATTTTGTGTGGCTTTGATGTAAAAAAAAATTATTAAAAATACCGTTCGGATTTACCCCAGTTTTCCAATTTTCTTGGGTAAATACGAACGGTCTGATATTATTAATAAAATTTTACAGAAGGCAAAAATCAAATATAGTTTCTGTTCTAGTATTCATAACAAACAATTATAAATAATAAAATGAATTTTTAGCTTCTTTTTCTTCAAATACGAGACAAAATACTGAAAGAGTGTCATCTTTGATTTTCAATCTTTTTTGCAATACTTGTTATCTTTGTTTATGCTGTTGCTAATTAACAAACAAAAAATGGGATAATACTTAGAATCTCTTCAAGAGGATCTGAGGTAAAAATTCTCATATCGAACTTATTTTTAAAAATTTTAATTAAGCTGAAATAATTAGCGTTCGGATTTACCCCGACTGACCCTATATAATAATAAAATGCTTGGTCTGTCCTTCTGTCCTAACTTGAAGTTGGTCTTTTCTGATTTCACGTGTTTTTTTTTGAGTAGTAATCTTATGACGTGTCAAATTTTGACAATTCTTTTTCTCTTTTTTGCCAAAGTTGTATAATTGTGTTTCTAAATTTCGGAATAAGTTTCTTTAAAATTCAATTCACGAAGGTGAAGTACACAACGTTTACAAACGAAATTTTTTTTAAAGTTGTATATTGATTCATAAATTGTATACAAATACAAAAAATTTATAATGAGAAAAAAGATGCGCCAGGAAATTTCGTACAAGATAGTAATTTGAAAAAAATTTATTTTTAAAAATTAATTTTTAAGGTACCAGGGGCCAACGAATACCTATTAAATATTAATTATAAAAACACATAAAATTGTAAAAACATTCCAAAAAAAAGTGGATTTGTTTTTTATTTTAACAAAAATATTTTACAGATTTTTAAATAAAAAATTTTTTATTTTAATAATAATCCTTTTCGAAGGGTTAAAGTTGAAATTTTTAGAAATAATTAAATTTCAAAAGATATTGTTAATTTTTAAACAATTATTAAAATTTACAGAACTGAAAATAATTTATCAAACAATTTTTGGAAAACATTTTTTAAATTTAATTGAATTTTCAAAGATTTAAAATTGAGATTTTTGAAATTAATTGAAACTTTAAGTGATTTTTAATTAAAATTTTAGATCATTTCACTAAAAATTTATTAGAAAATGCGGACAAAATACAATAATTTGAAAATCATTTTTAATTGAAAAATGGTTCCAGATAGTTGAATTTTCAAAGAATATTATTAAAATAGTTAAAAATAATTGAATTTCCTTAGAGTTATAATTGAAATTATTAAATTTCAAAAAAAAAATTTTCGATGGAAAATTTTAGTAATAATTAAATTTTAGATGCTTTTAAATTCAAATTATTGAAAATTCAATTAATTTTGAATTCAAATTTTTGAGAATAATTAAATTTTATTTGATTTTAAATTTGGAAAATAATTGAATTTCAGTTCATTTTGAATTGAAAATTTTGGGAAATAATTGAATTTGAATTGAAATTTTGGATAATAATTTAATTTAAGTTCATTTTTGATTGAAAATTTAGATAATTAATTTTGAATAGAAATTTTAGAAAATAATTGAATTTTATTTCATTTTAAATTGAAAACTTGGTAAATAATTAAATTTTAAATTGAAAATTTTGTATAATTATTGGATTTTTAATTGATTTTGAATTAAAATTTCGGGTAATAATTGAATTTTAGATTATTTTGAATTGAAATTTTTAAAAAATAATTCAATTTTATTGTGATATATTTTTTTAAATTATAAACAATTGTTAAATTTCATACAAATTTTAATTGAAAAATAATTTTGATATAATTGAATTTGTGATGTATTTAATTAAAATTATTTCAATTTCAATTTCAATTTCAATTTCAATTATTAACGGGACATGCCCTTTCGTACAAAAGTACTTCTAAATTCTAATAGTAACTTAAGTAACAATACAAAATATAAAATATTAACTAAATCTAGGTAGGCGCTATAATGGTTAAAGTTCAGTATAAGTTTATACAGTAAAGAATAACATAAATCAAATTATATTATTATCAAAAGAGAAGATTAATTTTTGATAAATTGAATCTGCTTTACCATTATATCAATTAATTTATATTATATTTATATTTATATTAATTAATTATTAAAAATAATTAATTTAGTGAATAATCATTTTAGTTCAAAATTTGTTAAATAATTGAATTGAAGAAGATCTGAAGAAGATCTACATTTTATACTAAAAAAATGTATTTTATTTACATTATTTTTCAAATGTAAAAAAAATGTCGCATTTTATTAAAATAAGTCGATAAAAGTCGTATTTTTAAAAAAAAGTCGGAAAAAGTCGTATAATCCGAGGCCTGTAAACATATAATTTTCATTATTATCATTTAATATGTAATAATATTCTAATAAATTAAATTATTATTAATAATATTAATCTTTAATTTCTTTATAACAAATAATTAAATATTCAATTTGGCGCGCTTGCGCGCGTTTAATTTTGCTAGTTAATATATAATCTAATTAAGAATGATTTAATTTTTTTGCCACACATTGAAATACAGTCGTGCATATATTTTTATCTACAGTTATAGATGTCAATATATTATTATCATTTAAAAACAATTGAAATATGTTTTAAATATTTCTTTCTTACAACAATATATTAAAAAAAACATTTAAATTATTGGTATATAATAGCAAGAGTTTTAATAAGTATTGAAAATTTAAAAAATAAAAATTCAAATGTATTTAAACATATTGTGCAATTTGATTTTTTATTTTCATTTGCATTTTCGTACTTGTAATCGAGAAATAAAGAAAAATATATCAGCTTAATTTTTATTTTTTAATTACGAAAATTGAAAAAAAATGTTCTATCCAAAAAAAATTATCAAAAATGGCTAAAATAGCCTGTGTAATTATTAACTGAACATGATGTAGTGTAAATGTAGGTAAGTTATCGACAAATAATTACCGATAAGAAGCGAGGAATAAAAAAAAGAATTACAATTTTTTGAAATTTTTATTTACAAAATTATTATTTACTAGCAAAATTAAACGCGCGCACACTGCAAAAATTATATTCTAGATTTAAGAATTTTTTCTTAAATAGGCGCCAGGAATATATTTCTTATTGTAAGAATATTTCCCACTTACTTTAAGTGGGGAATATTCTTGGCGCCTATTTAAGAAGAAATTCTTAAATCTAGAATATAAATTTTCAGTGCAAGCGCGCGAAATTGGATATTTCATTGTTTTTTGTAAAGAAATGATAAAGAAACCAATTCCGCAATTAGAAAACACAATTATACAACTTGGCAAAAATGAAAAAAGTAATATTCAAAATTTGACACGTCATAACATTACAATTCAAAAAGCACGTGAAATCAGCATAGACCAACTTCAAGTTAGGACAGAAGTACAGACCAAGCATTTTATTATTATACAATAAATAATTTTTATTATTACTTTCTTTTCAATTAGAAAATTTGATTGTCAGTTTTTAAAAATCTAACATGGTGGATATAATATGACGTAGGGATTTTTGACAAAATTTAATCGAAGATTTCATTCTATTCCTTTTAACGAATTTGTCATCAATTTTCAAAAATTCAAAATGGCTGAATTCAATATGGTGGACGACTTTTTGGAAAATTGATCGAAATTGGACACCCCATATTTTTATAATTTTTTTTTTTTTTGTCTTAAATATTAAAATAAAATTTTTTTATTAATATCAAATTCGAAAGATTTTTTGATACTCTTTCGCTTGGTGATATGCATTTTTGAAAAAAAAACATTTTCGACCAAAAAAATGAATTTTAAAAATAAATTTGACTTTTTCGTGATGAAAGGAACGATTATTTTTTTTTAAATTAAAAGCTAAGATTTTTTCCTATAAAAATATATAGTTGAAGAAGTGAGACAAGAATTTTTAAAGATTTATAATTAATAATTTTTTTTATCATTTTTGGTTATTTTTATTTTTTACTATTTTTCAATATTTAAACATTCTTGTCCCACTTTTTCAACTATATATTTTTATAGAAAAATACCTCAGCTTTCTATTAAAAAAATAAATAAATAAAATTGTAAACGTTATATTATTTATTATTATTATTATTATTTTATACTTAATAATTTCAATCTATTAAAATATTAAAATTGAAAGTTTAAAAAAAAATTCATTCATAAAATGTAAATTAGATTCAAAATTTCTTTTTAGTTCTAATTCTCGAATATATATATATATATATATATATATATATATATATATATATATGAAAAATAGAACCAACAAAGTTTAGAATGAACTAAATCTATAGGGGGGATTGAGCATGCGCAAAAAGAATCTAATTCACCTTTCAGTGCTTCCAAATCTTGACTTGCAAGTTTCTAACTCCATTTTAAAGTCTGCAAATTTCTTATTTAAACATAAAAATAATTTTCTGATAAAATGTTTTAAAAAAAAATTTGTCTTCACGTGAAAAGGTAAGAAAATTAATAATAAATATAAATTGCATTTTTTTTATTTTCAGTACTTTTAAAATATATTTTTTCACAATAGTTACAAATAATTTTTTTTTCTTTGCTTTTATATTTTCATTTATTTCTAGTTATTTACTTTTTTTATAATTTTCTAATTATACGAATTTAGTTGTTTAATAATTAAATGATAAATTATTAAACAATGGTGTTTAAATAAAAAATCAGAAAAAAAATATATTTTCCTATTTGAAAAGAAGTTTTTTTTACAATTTATTAAAAATAATTTTGTTTTTAAAAAATTTTTATCAGAAAAATATTTTTCAATTTTTAATAATGATAGCCTCCTAATTTAATAATCAACAAAAGTTGACATTTCAAGAACAATTCGTCATATTGAAAATTTCATATAAAAGTATAAACAAATGAAATTTGTATAATTATTCTTTTTTAAGAATTAACATACAAAAAATTAGAAATTGCAAAAACTTTTTTACCAACGAAATGAATATTAAAAAATTTCTTTTTAATTCTGGACATTGTTTGAAAAAAAAAAATATATATATATATATATTTTATTAAAGGAATATTAATAGTTTTTAAAAAAATTGTAATAAAATTATTTTAAGTAAAAAATTTTTTATCTCTGAAATTTTTATATGACAAAATGGTTAATAGTAAAAAAGAGAATTTATTTTTTAAATGATAGAAATCGATATTGAAATAATAAATATATAAATAAACAAAAAAAAATTGGTTTTAAAATAAATAATTATTGGAATACCAATATCACAGCTGTGCGATTTTATTTAAAATGTATGTCACATTCGTCGTCAAGGCAACGCAGTTTGCGTCTCGCTGCATCTTATGTCTAAATATACCAACATCGTAATGCACTCTATGAAGTTTTTGTACCTCTTCTGTACCATACCATGGAAAAATATATTCTGTTTACATTTCTTTCTATTAAATCAAAATCTAAATAAAAATCAAAGCCTTCACAAGACATGAAACACATACTTTTTAATAAAATTTTCCTAACAAAATTATTTATTATTTATATAAAAATATTTATATTAAGTTATTTTTATTTAAAAAAATATTTTTAAAAAAAATTTATTAATACATTTTTATATTTATGTAAAAAATTGTTATCTATAAATTTTTAGCTTACTTTCAAAAATTACATATTATTTATTTAACAAAATAATTAGGAAAAAAAAATTTCTAGTTTTTCTTTTTTAAAAATTAATTTTTACAAAATTATATACTGATAATCACGTTTATAAAAAGCAGAAATCTATCTTACAATGTATACGAGCAATTTGGAAAGCATCTGCAATTTTGTTTACAGTACGTCGATCTTCTTTAAGTGTTTATTGAAAATCACACATGGGGAATTCCATGTGAGATCATTAAAAAAAATTTCAAATTTTTTTTTGAAACATTTTTTTTCGAAATTTATATAAAAAATAAGAAAACGCGTAATTTTTTATTTCTGAATTTGATAAAAATTATGGAAGTTATGATTTTTTAAAATTTAAAGTTTTTCAGAAGCCGAATTGTCTTGAAACCTGTTTTTTTCTGTCATTATAATAGATAAAAAATTTAATATATATGAAATTTGTTCGATTTTTCTTTTAATCAAAAATAGCATAATTATTTATTAATTAACAGCGAAAGTATCTAAAAAAAATTACGATAGAAAAAAAACTCACTTCAAACGTACTTAGGCTTTTAAAAAACGTTTAATTTAAAAAAAAATCATAACTTCTCCAATTTTTATCAAATCAAAAAATAAAATTTCATAAAAAATTAGGAAATAAATGCTTTAGTAAAAAAATTGTATTTTTAATAAAAATATTTTAAAAATAAAAAAAAGTTTTATATAAAAATTGTAGTGTACACTTTTTTATTTTATAAAGAAAAATTAATTTAAAGTTATTATATGTTATAGATTAATTTTTACAATGCTGCTAAGATATTTATTGGTTTTACTGCTACCAGGTATTTTGGGATTTAAAAATATTCGTATTGGTTTGTATCCAATTTGTTCTCGCATTAAAAATTGTGTTTCTTCAAAATAATTGACATACCTATAAATAAAAAATTTTTAGGCGTCATTTTCGATGGTGATCCAATAATTGAAGATATTTTTAATATCTCAGTAAAAATGGTTAACAGAAATCGAAATTCGGATCATTTTCTACCATCGGAGAAAATAATAGTTGAAAAACGACTTGTTGAAGTTGATGATGTTTATGGTGCATCTGAAAAAGGTTTAATTTATTTATTAAATTTATATTTAGACTACCCAGATAGCACGTAATCTTGCAGCAACCTTGCGGCAAGCTTGCCGCGCAATATTGCCAACCTTGCACGGCAATATTGCCGCAAGGTTGCTGCAAGCCTAAAATGTCCCAGCTGATCCAAGCTTGCATGGTAAGCTTGCGGCAAGATTGCCGTGCAAGGTTACTGGCTTACTGCAAGATTGTTCAATAAGTTTATCGCAATATTGCTCGGTAAGCTTGTGGCAAGGTTGCTTGGCAATCTTATGGCAAGCTTGGAGCAATTTTTTTGGAGGGAAGAAATTTATTTCTGTATATACATTGAGCACCAGTTTCTGTGAAGTCAAAAAAATTTATTGCGCAGCCATAAGTGCTTGTGATTGCAAGTGCGCATAGTGCTCATTTTCGTAAACCTTGAACGGCAATTTTGCCGCAAGCTTACCATGCAAGCTTGGGTCAGGTGGGACATTTTAAGCTTGCAGCAACCTTGCGGCAATATTGCGCGGCAAGCTTGCCACAAGGTTGCTACAAGATTACGTGCTATCTGGGTAACTGAATTTTTTTTACTCTAACAAAAAATCTCTTTATTCACAAATTTTCATGCATTAAAAAATTAGGTCAATTAACGAAAAAAAAATCAATGAAAATTTTAAGGCCTAAAAAAAGAATTTTAGATATTAGTCCTTTTCCCTAAAAATATTATCTAAATAACTGACTAAATGTAAAACTTTTCTCCAGTTTGTGAACTCCTAGATGTAGGAGTAGCTGCAATTTTTGGACCACAAAGTAAAGCTAGTTCTAGTCATGTACAAAGCATGTGTGATGCCATGGAAATTCCACATGTTTCAACAAATATGGAACCTTATGCAGAAAGACTAAAAGCCATAAATATGCATCCACATGTCAAAACACTGTCCTCGGTAAGAAACAAAAAACAGTTTTTTTTAACCAAAAACTAATTCATCTTTATTTGAAACAGGTATTTTATCATCTTATAAAGGATTTCAAATGGAAAACTTATACTATTTTATATGACAGTGATGACAGTTTAATTCGCATGACACCACTTCTTACATATTATGGAACTTCTGGTTATACAGTTACTGTTCGTCGTTTAAATGGTGAAAATTATAGGTAAATGAAAATTGAAACCTTTTATTTATTAAAATCTGTATTAAATTGTATTTTTGTTTAAAAAAATTACAACTAAAATACAAATCATTTATATTTTAGGCCAGTACTGAAAGATGTTAAGAAATCAGTGGAGCATAATATTATTTTAGATTGTGATATAAAAATTTTGCTTGAAGTGCTAACACAAGCTCAACAAGTTGGTTTAGTGGCGGATAAATACAATTTTATCGTTTGCACTTTGGTAAGTCAAATTCTAAATTTTTGTATATTTTACGAGAGAATAAGTGGAAAATCTTCATAACCCTTCCCAGTAAAAAAAGATTTATTGAGCAAGCGATTTGGCTGATTGAGCAAGCCGTCTGCCCAATTGTCTAAACGACATTCGGACAATTGGACTGTTTGCTCAATCATCCAATGCATTATGCCCAATCACCAACATTGTATTTCGCGTCTAATAAAAGAAGAAATCGGTCCGAGTGTTGAGAAAATGATAAATCATGAATAATTATTGTTAAAAAGCAAGAAGTAATATATAAAAATACCTGAAATAAGAATAAATAACGAGTTTTGTAAAATGTTATTTTTTAGTTGACAGTGCACTGATGTAATATGAATTTTGTCGGTAAAAGTGAGGAGTATGATAAAGAGAAACGTTTCTTTATCGACTCGTGATACATTTCAATTGATAATAAAAAATTGTAGATTTCTTGTTTTTTTAAAAAATAAGGAGAAATTTCAATTGAGTATTTAAAAATAAATTTTAATTAATTTAATTTAATTTAATTAGTGGATTAATGAATCAGTGAAGTGAATTAAATTAAATTAGGTTAAATTAGGTTAAATACATTGAATAGTGGTAAGTAATTATATTTTGTAAAATTATTATTTATTAATAGAATTATATTCTTTGTTAATTTGTCTAGTATTATTCTTTTTACAAAAAAATAAGTATAAATAAAAAAATGAGCCTCATAACAAGAATTATTTGGTCAATATTTTAGGAAGGTGTCATTTGAAGAAAATATTGAAAAAAAATTAAAAAATTTTACTGTTAATTTAAATTTTTATAAAAAAAGACGCAAATAAAAATGTTTAAATTTAACTTAATAATAAATTGACCAATTATTATTAATTATTATTTTTCTCACAATTATCGTGATACTATATATATTTATAAAAAAAAACAGCATTTTTGCTTCATATGCCAAATATTTGAATAATTAGATGTTTTTTTTTATTATAGATCCGGGAGCATTATATGTTTTAGTGTAAATTATATTTTGATCCTTGATATATAAAAATAAAATTTTCTTTAAAATAATTGGATTAATTTAAATCTCCTATTTATTGTTTCTTTTAATAAAAATCCTATTTTATTTAATTAATTGAGTTTAATAATATAAATATATTATTATTAAATTCAATTATTTTACTTACCAGTTTTTATTTATACTTATTTTTTTAAAAAGAATAATACTAGACAAATTAACAAAGAATATTAATTAATTCTATTAATAAATAATAATTTTACAAAATATAATTACTTACCACTATTCAATGTATTTAACCTAATTTAACCTAATTTAATTTAATTCACTTCACTGATTCATTAATCCACTAATTAAATTAAATTAAATTAATTAAAATTTATTTTTAAATACTCAATTGAAATTTCTCCTTATTTTTTAAAAAAACAAGAAATCTACAATTTTTTATTATCAATTGAAATGTATCACAAGTCGATAAAGAAACGTTTCTCTTTATTATACTCCTCACTTTTACCGACAAAATTCATATTACATCAGTGCACTGTCAACTAAAAAATAACATTTTACAAAACTCGTTATTTATTCTTATTTCAGGTATTTTTATATATTACTTCTTGCTTTTTAACAATAATTATTCATGATTTATCATTTTCTCAACACTCGGACCGATTTCTTCTTTTATTAGACGCGAAATACAATGTTGGTGATTGGGCATAATGCATTGGATGATTGAGCAAACAGTCCAATTGTCCGAATGTCGTTTAGACAATTGGGCAGACGGCTTGCTCAATCAGCCAAATCGCTTACTCAATAAATCTTTTTTTACTGGGTTGGTATTCAAGGTACTTGGAGCCCGGTGCTCCTTCGCTGCCTGCGATATGATTAATTTTCACCTTATCGACATACTTTTCTCTACATAAAAAACTGCTTGGGCTTCGACTGCAGTTTGCAAACTTATGATCGACTTTATTGCACTTGAAGCACTCCACTGAAGCACACAGTCGATCTGTCCGCTGCCTTACAAAATCTTCATTTGGAGCTGTACGCCAGGGTTGGTTTCAATTATCCCCACTAGCCATTTGTCATAATTCTCATCAACTACAAAGTGAAAATTTAGTAACTTTATTGTTAAAATTAAAATTTACTATTAAGTTACTAAATTTTCACTAGAGCAGGGTGCGGTAGTTGACGAGAATTATGACAAATGGCGAGTAGGGCAATACATAAAGCCAATCTTTATGCGTCCTAATTTCTCCAGCCTGTTCTCCTCCTTCTCCTCTGGGTCGCTAATCACAACCGTGAGCTTCATTCGTAGTCTGTTAGTAGAACAGTCACCTTTCTGCTTTTTGGACTTTGGAGAACTTCTGTCAACTCTGATGGACCACTTCTTCCTGGGTAAGGCAATCCAGATTGCGAATCTCCAGTGTGACCTGTCGATTCACGGTCTGCACCTTTCCCATACTTCCAATTGTTTTGGTGATCTCAGCAGAGAATGCTTCTTTATTGGAGTCTCCTCCGATTTTGATCAAGAGATCTCCTTTTCTTGTTGGCCTTGCACCCTCGACCTGAGTGACTGGCGTCCAGATTCACATCTATCCGAATTTTGTTCAGTACGTCGTCATACGTTGTTCCTGTTGCAACTCAGATTATCATTGTAGATCCACTCGGTCTGTATGGACATCAGCGGACGAATAATCCCAAAGTTGCTCTCTGCGTGTCGTAAAAGGCGACTAATAAGCAGGAAGGAGCGGTTAGTTTCGAGGCTTAGATAGAATCCTTAAGCTAGTACTCTTACCTGAGTCAAATGGTCATGGATCAGGTATCCTGGGAAGCTTTCCTTGCTTGAGCGAGGAAAGAGTCCTGTCTGGTCATTTAGTATTGGACTCGTTGGGGCAGTGGTTAAAAGTTCACCTCGCTTAAAGCAAAAGAATGGAGAAGAAACTGATCAGTCTTCTTTGAAACTGTCGACGTGTGAGTTGCAGTATAACAACTCGGGCAAGAACCTTCATAGTTCCTGGAAGACTGGAAAAATCCCACCCTAAATCGAGGCTCCGTAGTGTTCTCTCTAAACTTAAAAAAGACCCCTTTTAATTAAAGTAAGAGTGCGATGTAGTTCGATGATTGTTAAACGAATGTTTGAACGACGATATACAGTCAGAGTCACGAATCAATTTTCGAATTACTGAAAAGGAGTTAAGCTGAACTAACTAACCTCTTTTTATTAGGTATTTCAAGTCGATTACGCAATTCCCGCTGTAGATCCACTCGTCACTTCCTTCTTACTGGTTTCGTTAGGATTCGGAGCTAGCGTCACCTTCGCAATCTTTTTGACAAGAGGTGTCTCCTCTTGCTTCTTCTTCTTCTTCACCTTGTTGTCAGTTCTCTTCGGACTGCCAGAGCTTTTTCTTCGTTTCTGCGCCTCTATGACTGCGTGCCAAATCCGCTTCTCATGGATGCACTATCTTTTCCTGTTTCGCTCGGTTTGGTTCACCTCCACATTGCCTATAGCACCAAGGTTGCTATCTCGATTATCAGCTAGGGCGTGCTTTGTTTTCGCTTCACTGACAAAAATCCTAAAGAGTCCTAAGTCCGTCCTTAATATTCACGTTGACATTCTTCTGAACTCTGCAAGACTTTATCTTCTTAGAAATCTCCCCTTCGATCCTCTAAAGACACTCAGCTTCCTCCTGCCTACACTGTTAAAAATCGGGCTTCAACTTTACACTAAAAAAATTGAAATTATATATTTTCAATCTTGACAAGTGCGAATGTTTTTATTTCATTGGCTTAAAGTTTTTTGTCCAACCAATGACATGCAAACATTTACACTGTTCGGATTGAAAATATATTATTTCAATCTTTTTAGTGAAAAGTTGAAGCACGATTTTTAACAGTGTAAGCGTTAAACAATTCTCGTATTCTTCTTTGATTGTTCCATTATCCAGGTCAGACAGAATCAAACTTCTTCCGCTGCTGACACTAGAAAACGCTTCAAGCGCTTTCTCTTCTACTGCCAAGTTTTTCCAAGCGGACATGCATCATGGAGGCGAAAATTTGCGGTTCGCAGTGGGAGTAACTTGTCTCTTTCGTTACCGTTTGTGTGTTTAATATGACAAATATAAAAATACCATTTAATATAATTATTGTTACAAATATTATTAAAAATTTTCAGGACTTACATACACTAGACATTGAGCCTTTTCAATATTCTGGAATGAACTTCACGGCAGTTCGTCTCATTGATCCCGATGATTACATGACTAGAAGAATTATAGAAGATTTTTTTCAACCAAAAGGAATAACGACTGCAAGTCAATTAACATTAGAGCAAGCATTAATGTTTGATGGGATTCAACTTTTTGCACGAGCTTTTAAGCAACTAAGTGATGCTGTTAAAATAAATATCAAAAAGTTACCATGCAACGGTTTGGAGAATTGGGAACATGGAATAAGTCTCAGTAATTTTATGAGAGCTGTAAGCAATGAAAATTCATATTCTAACAAACGTAATTAGACAAGAGAATTAAAAAATTATTTTTCCAATTGACTTCCAGTCAGAAATGCGTGGGCTCACAGGTTTAGTAAAATTTGACACTTCTGGATTTCGCAGTGATTTTCAACTAGATATATTGAATGTAGGTTGGAAGGGTATTAAAAAAATTGGCACTTGGAATAGTACCACTAACATTGATTGGATACCGGAATCGATTTCATATGATCCATATGCTGATTTGAGTCTTAGAAATATGACTTTTAGAGTTCTTATATCGCTGGTTTGTAAAGAAATTGAAAATTTTAAGTCATAATTTTTTTTTTGCTTCATTTAACTTGAAACTTTTGTTTTCTTGAGATTTACAGACAAAACCATATGCGATGCTGAAGGAATCATCAATAAAAAAAAGTGGTAATGATCAATTTGAAGGTTTTGGAATAGATGTTATTCATGAGCTCAGCAAAGCTTTAGGATTTAATTACACATTTATACAGCATGATCCTGATTATGGAAAGTTTGATAACGCAACTGGCCAGTGGACTGGAATGCTTAGGAAAATAATGGACAATGTTAGTTTTGGCTATATTCAATAAATGGACACAATCATTTAAGGGGTAACGCCGCACTTTAGAACAACAACAACAACATAAATTAATTTTTAGATGGCAAATAAAATTGTTAATATATATTACGCGTAGAAAATATCGTCCCTGTTGTATTTTAAAATCAATTTTTTCAGTATAATTACCCTTTAGATCATTATAATCTTTTCTTACAGGATGCAGATTTGGCAATAACAGATTTAACAATTACAGCTGAACGTGAAAGTGCAGTAGATTTTACAATGCCTTTTATGAATCTTGGTTAGTGTTATTTATATGAATGGGTTATTTCATTTTGATTTATTTTCGAATTCAATTTTTAGGAATAAGCATCCTTTTTACAAAACCGAAAAAGGCTTCTCCAAGTCTGATGTCTTTCTTGTCACCATTCTCTAATGAAGTATGGCTTTATGTAATTGGTGCTTACGTATTTGTCTCCATTGAGTTCTTTATCATTGGCAGAATGTGCCCAGAAGAATGGACAAATCCTTATCCTTGTATTGAAGAACCGGAGAATCTGTACAATCAATTTTCACTTAAAAATGCTCTATGGTTTACAGTCGGAGCGATGATGCAACAAGGAACTGAACTTGCACCAATGTAAGTTTACTTATAGGGTTTTTATTCCCTTTACTATTAGTGGCAGATGATAAATTACTTCTGTCCTCAATTTACAGAGGTGTTTCAACAAGAATGCTAGCAGGTAGTTGGTGGTTTTTTTGTCTTATTATCGCCAACTCTTACACAGCTAACTTGGCAGCTTGTCTTACAGCGGAAACATTAGTGAAACGAATTGAAAACGTTGAGGACCTAGCTAATCAAAATGAAATAAAATATGGTGCAAAATCTGGAGGATCGACTATTTCCTTTTTTGCGGTAAGAAAGTTTTATAATCTCCAATGATGTTTGAAAAAAGAAAGTTCATTGAATTTAATTACAATTTAGAATTCAGCTAATCCAACATACAAAAAAATGTACAAATATATGACAGAAAATGCTGCATCTGTTTTATTTGATTCAAATGAAGAGGGTAGAGACAAAGTACTAAAAGGTGATTATGCATTTTTAATGGAGTCTGCTTCAATAGAATACCTAAGTGAACGAGAATGTGACCTAACTCAAGTTAATGGTCTTCTGGACCAAAAAGGCTATGGCATAGCTATGAGAAAAAGTAAATAACTGTTAAAACAATTATTTTTTAAAATATAAAATCATAAAACTAGACTTATAATAGTGTATATCAATAGATTCGACATACAGGAATGAACTGTCGTCTGGTGTTCTTAAATTACAAGAAAATGGAATGCTTGCATCACTAAAAACGCAATGGTGGAAACAAAAAAGAGGAGGTGGTAGTTGTGAGGTATTAACAGACTAAAAAACTATTTCGCAAGAATTAAATTTTTTTTTAAATATTAACAAAATTCTAAACATATCATTTACAGAAAGATGCTAGTACAGGAGCACCAACACCATTAAATTTATCAAACGTAGGTGGAGTTTATCTAGTATTGGTAGTTGGTATTGTTTTCTCATTTTTCTTATCATTGGTTGAATTATTGTGGGAAATAGGCTACAACGCATTTAAACATAACGTAAGTAAATCTCCATGACTATTTTGAATTTCTTTTCATCATACCTACACTAAATTGCAATATTTTGCTTCAAATCAAACTTGAGCGAAATCTGATCAAATTCGCTAAGAATTTCATTAAGTTAATCCGCCAGGATTTAATTTTAAAACTAAAATTTGTTTTAGGCTTCAATTAAAGAAGAACTTATGGACGAATTTAAATTTATTTTGAAATTCAGTGGTACTACTAAACCGGTTAAAAATAGAAAATCAATATCGAGTAAAAGTGAAAAGGATTCACAAGATTCAACTCCTCCTTATGGTTTTATTCCAGCAGTTGTTACTACCGGTCCACGTAACGAAAGTGAAACGTAACAATATTTATGGTTTTTCTACGAAAAAAATTAATTATTAATATCGTCATTGTCAAAGAAATATTACTGTTACTCTTTTGGAATAATACAAATAAATTAGTAGAAATTTTTCTTGAATAATTATTTGTAAAAAGTTTAATAATCATATTTCAAGTAATTTTTGAATCATCTGGAATATTTAATATTATTATTAATATTATTTCTGTTACTTTGCTTTTGATCTCTAATAAATATTTAGGTTGATGCTTTAGCATCTTTACCCTTGATATCGAATATTGAAGGAAATTTGGATCCTTGAAGATGGTCTATTTAGAAATTATTGTAGACCCTCATCAAGTATTTCTACTATGCGAGGGCGCCGGCGTCGAGGACGGCAGTCTTTAGGATTATATTTGAGTATGTTTTGAAGGATCTTGTTTTCATGATTTTCAACTTGATTAAACAGTTTTAGGGCCAAATCACGACCATATTTGCGTATGGTGGGAATTTTTAAATCTTTATGAAGTTGAGCATTGGTAACAAACCAAGGAGCGTTTGTTATTAATCTTAGTAGCTTGTTTTGAATGACTTGAATTTTATCAATGTGAGTATCAGCCGCAGAATCCCAGGTGCCGATGCAATAGGTTATTGCTGGTCGAATTATGGATAGAAGTAGAAGTCTCTTCGATTCTAGGTTGAGTTTAGGATTTTTAATGAGTGGTCCTAACGAGTTTATGGCTATAAAACCTATTTTCTTGATCTCATCAGTGTGCTTGCACCAAATTAATTTACAGTCAATATGGATTCCCAAATATTTGGCAGAATTGGACCAAGAGATGCTTTTGTCAATTACTTTGATCATTCCGGGTGAATTTCTGTTAATTCTGCACGGAGAGAACTCTGTTACTAATAACGCACAAGTAGGTGCCATTCGCTTTTCGTAACAGAAGCGCCTTGCTAATTTAGGTCAGATTCATGCGTTAAGTGCAACACTAGTTTCAGTGCGCGAATAGTAAAAGTCACGTACAAATTCTCCACTCAACTGTTGCTACAAACGCTCCACACCTCTGTGTGCTGCATTTGCTCGAAATCCATGAAAAATCAGCATGGATTTCTTGCAAATCGAGGAAAAACGTAACGCGCGTGCGCAACGAATTTTTATTCCTATGCGTTTCGATTTCTTTCATTGACGAAATTCACGATGCCTGCGCGTTACGTTTCAGCTCGATTTGCAAAAAATCCATGCTGATTTTTCATGGATTTCGAGCAAATGCAGCAAAGAAAGGCGTTGTTCATTTTCGTCATGTTTCTGGAGCGTTTGTTGCATACACTTGTTGTAGAATTAGTATGAGAACTTATACTAATATTTCACACAGCACCGTTTTGCTATAAACTCATAAATTCGTGAAAAAATAACTCCAGTCTCAAGCGATATTTCCAAAACATATTCTGTTGGAAAAATAGTAACAGCCCGTCGAGCAATATTCGTAAGAGAGTTCTCTCCGTGTGGTCATTTGATTATTATATTAAACACACGGACGGTAAAGAAAGACCCAAGATGCCCCCACCGTGATCCGCAAATTTTCACCACCGAGATGCGCGTTACCTACTCGGAATGAGTATAGTTCCGCACAGATTCTAAGTTTCCCCCGCCAGAGTCGTATAAAAAGAAGCTCACCGGAAATCGAAAGCACATTCAGTTCGAAGCACCTCGGTGAATCACTGCTATTTAAAACTGGTAAAATCATACATTTCGTGTTGACACGAATCATTGCGAAGCATAATATGTAAACATACAAGATTTAAATTGCCGGCCGGTTTTATTTCAAAGCATTAATAATTTATGTCGGAAAGTTTGACATAACCACTGACAGTGAAAAATACAATCTGTGAATTGTAAGGATAACAAGTGATTTTATTATACTGAACAGCAAAATTATTACTTTTAATGTGATGTCAAATTATAGTTGGTAGCGAATGTAGAGGTTAGATATGTAGCGTCACTTTTACAAGTTTATATCTATTTATTTGTTTTATTTTTTTACTATATTTTTAAAGGGTTTATTAATTTTTAAAGACTCGTGTTTTTAATTGAATTTTTGCAAATGGTGGCACAATTTTTACCGGTAGTATAAATAATATTGAAAAAATAAAACACTGGTATATTTTAATGTTAATAATATTAAAAAAGTTTAAATGAAAAAATTATTAAGCAAATATAAAAAGATTAAATAAAATTTGACATATAAATAAAAAACGTTTTTGAAAATAAAATTCATAACAGTATTTACACCTAACCTAAAATCTGACACGTGCGATAAAACGCATATATAGTGAAAATTCGGCGTCTTAAAAATTCTACACGGAGAGAAATCTGCTGCGATTTGCGCATGAGCAAGTCCAAAGGAATATAGCATGGACACTTCCAAGCAAAAACCATAAGATTCCATCTGAACTTGTAACTTGTAACTTTAAACTCCTATGATAATTCACAGGAGGAAAATAGCCTTAGGTCTGTTCACAGGGAACATAATGCAAAGCAAGGCGACCTATCTGGCCACGGCAATGATAGAAAGTTATATACTGATTGGTTAATCAATAATTTGAAGGGAAAAAGACTAAGAGGTTATATATTACATATATAAAGCAAAAGCGCGATAAATAAATTTAAATTTAAATTTAAAATTAAATTAAAGATAAAAGTAAGTTATATAGAAATATTATTAGAATTAAGAAAATCAATAATTAACAAAAGGATATGAGGAAGAGGATTCTTTAAAATAAGTTCAAATGAATATGGAGGGTAAATTTTGTATTTAACAAGGTTTTTTAGAAAATCAGATCTATAAGTTGAATATTGAGGACACTCCCAAAGAACATGATTAATATCATGTGATTCATTACCACATGATAAACAAGAAGCTGAATTAATAAAATTTTTCCTTGCTAGACTAGCTGGCAAATTATAATGATTAGATCGAAGTCTTGAAATAATAACTATTGTTTTTCTATTATATTTAGTCTTCCAAAACCAAGGTTTTAAAGTAGAGTCCGAGAAAAAATTTTGAAAATAATAAAGGCCCTTATTATTAACATTAGAATGATTTAACCAATAATTACAAACTAAATTATAAGATTCAGAAAAAATTGAAGGCCACAAATCAGAAAAAGATAAAGGAATATTTTGAAAAATACCTTCTTGAGTAGCTGATCGTGCTAAGGTATCCGCTATTTCATTACCGGGAATACCCAAATGACCGGGACACCAAACTAAAGTTATATTAAGATTATTTTCTTTAGCATTCCAAAGAAGATTACGTAATTTAAAAATTAAAAATGAAGTAGAAGGACGAGGAGAAGATAAGCAAGCTTGTAAACCACTTTTAGAATCGGAGAAGATGATTGAATGGGGAATAGAATTATCTAATATAATCTGAATCGTTTCGCAAATGGCTAAAATTTCAGCCGAGAATATAGAACAATGATGAGAAATTTTAAACATAAGATTTAAATCCCAATGTGGAGAATAAATAGAAAAGCCAACAGAAGATTCAGGAAATTTTGAACCATCAGTATAAAAATGAATAGAATTATTATATTTTTTTGAAGAGGAAATATTAAGAAAATCTGAGATCGGAGCTTTACTATTCTTAACAATAAAACCAAATTGTAAATCAACAGAGGGTTTAAAAAATTGTAATTCAAATGGACAAAGATAATTTAAAGGAGTAAATGAATTAAACATTAAATTTTGAAAACCATGAAGTTTATAAAAAGAACGTAAAAGAAGAAAACCTTTATCTAGGTTATAATAAGTATTATTAAATTTGGTTAAATAAAAAAGGCGTAACAATAAAGACATAATAGGATGAGAAAAAACATTAAGAGAACGAAGAAAGAAACGATCAGAAACTAATTGAAATCTAGAAATAAGAGGAAATTCCTTTAATTCAGCCTGCATTACAACAATAGGTGTAGAAATACGATAACCCAAAATAAGTCTTAAAAATTTATTGTGTAATTTTTCAAGTTTATTAAATAATTTGTCTTCTTTAAAAATAGAAATGGCATGACAACCATATTCAAATATACTTCTAGCCAAAGAATGAAAAAGTATACTAAGGATTTTTGGATGAGATCCCCACCATGTCCCACATAAACATTTCAGAATATTCAAAACCCCATAACCTCTTTTAAGTAAATCATTAAAATGAGCATTCCAAGATAAAGAACAATTAAAAGTAATCCCAAGAAATTTAGTTTCTGCAGAAGGATAAATATGATTATTTTGTAAAATTAAAAAAGTATTATCCGGAAGTTTATTAATAGAGATTGGAAAAATTAAAAATTTAGATTTAGAAGGTGAAAGAGATAAACCTCGATTTTTAAGAGAATCATTTAAATTAATTAAATTTTGTTGTAAAATTTGAATAGCAATTATTAAAATTTTATTAGATACATATAAAACTAAATCATCAGCATATTCTAAAATTTTGCAATTAAGACATTTATGTAATCTACGAGTATAAATAATATATAAAATTGGACTTAAGATACAACCTTGTGGAAGGCCTTTATTCAAAATGTGAGGACCTTCATTTTTATCGTTAATTTTAAAGAAAATTTTGCGATTAGAAATTAAATTATAAATAAATTTACAAACATTAATAGAAATACCTAATTCAAGTAAATCATTAATTAAAACATTTGGAAGAACATTGTCATAAGCAGCAGCTATATCAAGAAAAATGCAAGCTGTATAATCTTTTTCAGCAAGAGATAAATGTAATTGAGAAGATAAAATAGCTAAACTGTCTGCACATGATTTATTTTTTCGAAAACCATATTGGAATGGAGAAAGAATAGAATTATTTTCCAGCCAATAAGTCAAACGATTAGATATAAGATTTTCCATAATTTTTAAAAAACAAGAAGCCAAGGCTATTGGACGAAATTTACGTTTAGTAGTTTTTGGAAGAAGAAAAATAAGAAATTCTTTCCAAGAATCAGGAAAAGTTCTATAAAAATAAATATTATTAAAAAGATGTAGAAGAAAAAGTAAAACATGTTTAGGAAATTTTTTAATTACTTCAAAACTAATCTTATCAAGACCTGGAGATGATTTAACTTTTACTTTTTTA